TTGGGCCTGCGTTCTCGACGAGGACTTGCCACGAGGAACAGATGATGCAGATTACCTCTTAGACAGTCAATTATTTGGCAATTCTCGAAGTTACACTGATCGGCATCATTAATCAATCTTGTTCAAGATCAATCATAAGCTGCTGAAGTCCTCAGCTTGTTCTGGAAACTGTACGTATTGGGACTTTTTTTCCCCTTCTTGGGTTGGATTGCAGCAGTCATTTTGGACTCACAACAACCCGCACACGACTTTGATTTGGCTGGCTGATTTAGTGCATGAAATGCCTGAGCAGACTTAATTGATAGGAACGATCTCCCGCCTCCAAATACAGAGCTCCAGGCACAAATCTATTTTGTGCAGTTCATCTGTTCAAAGCTTAACCAGAAAAAGTGATGTAACAACTCTGTATGGCATGCGTGCGTAGCAGGAGTAGTGAAGGGAGTTCAATTAGAAGGCGGTTCAGTACTAGAACAGGCAGTGACGCGAGCGAGATTAAAGGAAATTGTTGAAGACAAAAGGAAAAACAGGGAACTGAAAGTAACAACACAGAGAGAAAAGGTTGTCCCAAAAATAAAGTGCTACAGAGTAGAGACATCTTTTGAGCTGCAAAAATGGGATATCACTCTATCAGGCAATCAGCAGAATTGGTGCTCTAATGTTTATTCTTGAAGAACATTTAGCAGCTGCGTGGCGTCAAACGTCTGATGTGTCTTACGGCCCTTTCTAGCTTTATGAAAGGTAGCTTTACTCCCTCGACAGGAACCCAATCACATCCATGCACTGTAAAACAGCTTTAATTACCTAACACCAAATTAAACAGCATTTTCCGAGTTCTTCTTCTTCTCCTCTCTGCCTTGAAGATATGTTCAAGTTTCCAGCTACGTACTTAGGCCCTGCTTGGATTTTTATTTATTTTTTTTAATTCTTTTGGGGGAGGGAGGGTAAAAAAACCATACCTTTTCTAATTTAAAAAAATACAAAAAAAAAAAAATTTTTTTGAGAGAGAGAGAAACAAAAAGAAGGATCGCAAGGGCTTAAATTCTTTTGTGAGGGATCGTTCACAAATCAATTACAGATGTGAACACTTCTCTTAAATCATGTAGGCCAATTAAGCAAATTAACAAAACAAGATCTACTACTTTCTCCATTCTCCCACTCTTCTCCGCTTCAGCTCATTTCATTTCATTTTACAAAGCCCCAACAGGCCAACCTGTACCAAGCTTGCAATTTAAGCTTGGCATCGGCAGTAGCTATGCATATGCTCACACCATGGTCATCATCATCATCATTATCAATTAAGGTTCGCTAATACCCACCTTCCCTTTACCCTAGTGGGAAGCAAAAGACATATCCTTTACTTGAGAATAAGCACCAACATGTCCATGTCCTTTAAATCAAGTCAACCGTGAAAGCACCTTCACTCAGCTCTATGCTGAGGTTCTGTGAACAAATAAATATCGGATAAAGATGTATTACTTGATGACCGTAACTAAAATAAGTATCAATTAAGTACCTTAAAAATGTTCACGACGCAGCCTAATTTAGGAAAGGAAATGTTGTTCTTAACATGTTGGACAAGAAAACAATCTAAGGTTAAAAAAAAAATTAGTTAATGCTATATGCATGATCAAATTTGACAAACATATAGCAAGTCTGACGATTAGACTTGTTGGTCAGTTTATTTGGCAGAGCAACACTCTTGGAAGGATATGGAATCATGAAATCCTTAAAGTCGTACAACATTATGATTGTATAACCTAGTATATTATTGATGCAGGCGTTGACTTCATGATTGTGAAGCCATCTGCAATAGTTAAATGAAGTGAAGGTGAGAACTTGCTATTGGAATTTGGAAACTAATTTGGATGGCAGTCAGAATGCGAATCTTCTAAAGAATTAATTTGTATAAGGGCTGTTGAATGGTATGCGAGACCTTTGAATCATGCACCTACTTTTGTAAGGTAACTATATATATATATATATATATATATATATATATATGTATGTATGAGCGACTCCCTTTTGAGTTGAACAAGTTATAATTAGTAGAGGACGAGGTGAAGCCACTAGATCAGATCTGTTACCCGAGAAGCAAAATCCTGTTTTATCTTCTATCCGAAAAGTTGCGTAATGATATGATACGTCTTAATATACTTCTAAACAAACATCTCTATATCCTGTGTAAGATGTGTTGGGGTATCAGGCCAATTATTTGAAAAAGAAAAGATCAACAATTTAATAGAAAATAATATCTAACACGAACGATGAACAACACACAAGAATTAACGTGGTTCGGCTTAATCACCAAACCTATATCCACGGAGAGAAAAACTTGTTCTTACTATGAGAGAAAACAACCACAAGATTACAACTTGATTCCCAAGCCCCAACTCTTGTATAACCCTCTCACTTACTAAGAACTCTCTCACTCCTTTCTTGTGTATCTTTATAGTATGCCAACCCACCTATTTATAGGAAATATTACTGCCAAAAAAAAACCAAATAACAATTGGAAATCAATACTATTTCCTAAACTCATATAGAGTAGAAAATAGTATCTAGCTAAATAGGAATTTACTTGACTACTACTTCAAGTAACTAAATCCAATTAGGAAATTAGTTACTTCCACACAAAACAGGAATTTTACCTAAAAGAAATTAAGCCAATTTCCTAACAAATCTCCACCTTGGCAAAATTTCTTTTAGCAAACACAGCAAACCATCCAAAAAATTCCATTTGCCTTTTCCTACCAAGTAACTTGGTGCCTAACTACACACCCGAATCAATACGGTCTTGTTTTCAATTGATTCAATCGGCAAATGAACGTGTGTAGTTAACCGAGTCCAACATCTAGTTGACTCGCGAGAGGGGCCTCAATTCACCTTCTCCCATAGCAGGATTTTTCCTTTCACCATCATTTGTAATTTGAGAGCATTTTTTGGATCCCTTGCCGCTCCCAATTCATTGAGGTATTCAAATGGTACAGATTACCATACTTCTTCTCCATCAACAAGACCGTCTCGCCATGTGTGATTTTCAAGACTCCACCTGCAGCGGAAAAATGGTAACCCTCGGAGTCTAACTGGCTCAAAGAAATTAGATTCCTTCGTAATTTTGGGACATAAGCCACACCACCCAAAGAACGAATCTCTCCATTCAATATTTTGATTTTCACCACTCCAACACCTTTGACTTGACAAGTAGATCCATCACCCAAGGACATAAAACCTGCCTTCTTTCTTTGGAGAGTATCAAAATAGTCTAACCTGGAGCAAACATGTGAAACACATCCAGAATCTAAAATCCAACCATCACGAGAAGAAGTATTATTACCTTTGGAGATTGTGAGAATATCTCCACCCGATGTATATCCAGCAACATTATCATAGTCATTCTCATCATTTTTCCTTCGATGAGGGCAATATTTTTTGATATGGCCAAACTCATGATAACCAAAGCACTGGATTCCACCCTTTCCCTTGGCCTTTGAATCACCTGCCTTAGATTCACCGCCAAATTGTTTTCCTCTTTTATTCTCACCTCGAGCAATTAGCGCAGCTTCTTGTGTCACATCCTGGTTTGCCTTTCTTTGTTTTTCATGATCCAACAAAGAAGACTGCACATTCTCGAACTCTAAAGTGCCCTTCCCATATAACAGGGTTGTCACGACACTTTCGTAAGAATCAGAGACTGAGGTAAGAAGTAAAAGGACATTATCTTCTTCCTCAATATCTACGCCAACCTTTTGGAGTTGATCCAAAATTTCATTGAACGTATTCATGTGATCCATGAGGCTGCCACCCTCCACCATCTTTAGTGCATAAAGTTGCCGCTTTAGATGCAACTTATTGGATAAGCTTTTAGCCAGATAAAGTTTTTCCAATTTTTTCCAGAGGTCTGCTGCAGAATCTTCCTCATCTATCACATTATTTATGATATTGTCCGCCACATAGAGCCGAATCGTGCTCGCACACCTTGCGTCCAACTCTTCAAACAAATAACTAACTAGGAAAACAAATTAATATCATGAAATCAAATGACTAACCAAGGAATTTAAGATACAAGTAGTACCAATAATAGTTATTGGAAAAAATGTAGTACTATAAAGGGAAAATAATCGATTTCATCCTTCACATTTTACAAAAATACTATTTTCATCCCTAACTTTTAAAACGAAGCAATTTCGCCATTGACATTTAAAAATTGAAATTATTACATTCATGAACCCAAATTTCAATCTGAATCAAACCACCTATCAACCTGATTACAAATTTTGTGGGTATAATTGATAGATCACTTGGTTAACTCAACTTAATATTCATATGAAATTTAAGAAACCCAAAAAGAGAAAATAAAAAAATTATTAATATAAAACAGAAGGATTAATCTTTCCTACACTGACGGTTGTATGTATCTTCCATATCATTTCAATTTAAATTTAAACACCAAATTTTGTATTTATGATACACATCTAGACTCGCAAGGGGATATACTAACGGTGCATGAAAAGATTTATCCAAAAAAGAAACCCTACTATTCCAAGATAGAGAATGGCCTTTTATGTTATGATTTTTATTTTTATTTTTTTGGTTTAATAAATTTCATGTGAATATGATGAAGTTGATTGAGTAATCTATCAATTCTATCTCCAAAATTTATTACTAGATTATTGAATGGTTTGATTCGTATTGAAAATTAAGTTTAGTTCAGGGATGTAATAGATTTAATTTTTAAATGTCAGGGACGAATTTGCTTTATTTTGAAAGTAAGAGACGAAAAGAATATTTTTGCAAAATGTGAGAGATAAACCGAGTCATTTTCCCTACTATAAAGTATGGCTTAATTTAATTCGACTTTTGCATTCTTAAATCATCCCGTTTTGCTCTCTTACCAGTTTAAGAAATGATATTAAAGCTGCTGGTCGATTTAACACGTGTTGTGGAGGCGAAAACGACCATAACGATTCAACTGCAGCAGCTAATATTGCAATCACAGCTTTGAAGATTCTGCGTTTTCCTCATCCGCGCAATATTATGAAGATCTCAAATCTCGAGCAACTTTTCTCCCTCCGTTTCTTTCTGGATGACAAACAAGACATGCAGAAAGGTACAATGCCATTGTTACTTTTTAATGATCCTTAGTTTTGTGTGTGTGTGTGTGTGTGGGCAAAATCATGTTTGTAAACTGTGATCCCGATCATGATTCCATATGAGTTGTCTCTCAGATCTTAGTGGGATCAGTTGCAAACCCACATATGCTCAGATCCTTATAGCTTCTTCGGTTGGATTAATGGTCGCTGCTGCGATGCATTATCGGCTGAAGAAAATACGTGACAACAGGATCATACCGAAGATGAGAATTCCAGAATCCGGGCAAGTCGTTAAGCTCGAGAAATTCTCATATTACGTAGGTAATTGATGAATGTGGCGTCAAGTCTTTAATCTATTTCATGGAATTATCTGTCGGATTCCTTTTGTTTACCCCGAGTTGATCGATACATCCCTATACATATCCACGTGCATGCATGCTTTTTGCAGCTAGACAAATGGGATTTGCAGATAGAAGGCAGTGTCCGACCCTGTGCAAGTTAGCTTCTGAATACCTTAGGAAATCAGAAGGGTGTGAGGAAGAGATATATAACTTCTTTGCCTGCGAGCAAGAGGCCGATTCGCTCTTCATAAAGCTGGTGGAAGAGTTTGAGAGGTGCATTCTCAGTTACTTCGCCTTTCACTGGTCCCAAGCTCCTTACATGGTCAGCCAGGTACCGTAGCATTTATATCTGCAAATGCATATATCTTCCAACATGAGTAGAGGGTAAAATCAAGAAACGAGTTACCGGTTAGTTTCCCGGCAGTATTAACAGGAACATCCATGTTCCTTGCACAATAATGTCTCAGGTGCTGAGTACTGATTCCGAGCCCAAAAAGAAGCTCAAGCACATTGTGATGGCAGCCACAAGGTATCTATTATACACGACACGTTCACACACCAAGACAAATAGCATCAGGCATCAAACTCAATTTTAGGTATCATAACTTCGAACGATAGCATAAATCTCCTGACGACATCCCTTGATTTGTCGCAACAACCATAAATAAAATCAGGTTGCTCCCAAAAAAAAAAAAATGTAAAACATTCATAAGAAGACAGTTAGAATGAAACTAATTTAAGGGATATCACGAAAGAGAAGATAAAGAAGACAGCCCAAATTGTCACAAACCATTAATATTATCCAAAAATGTACATTCCCAGAGATGTAATTTTCTGATTTCAGATGCCATATTTGTTGCAACTGGACTGTTTAATTGATTACTTCCATCAAGACTGCTATTAACCGATCTTACTTTTTGTCTTTGCTTATGAAGGGAACAGAGGATTGAAAGGGTAACCAAGAACTTGAAAGTTGCAAGAGTATTCACAACATTGGTGGAGGAGATGAGAGCCATCGGACTGGTATCTACTGATGATTCACGGTGCACGGATGTGATGGTTCCTATGGCTCACAAAGACAGAAGTCCGGTCCTCCTCCTTATGGGGGGCGGGATGGGGGCTGGGAAAAGTACAGTGCTTAAGGACATTCTCAAAGAGTAAGAGCACATAACTGTGATAAAATTCCCTATCCAAAAGACAGGAGAATAAAAATACAGCATCAAATAAGCAAGAGCCAACCTCAACCTCCTGTGCAGTTAAAATCATGAGTTGTGCTCAGTTTAAAAGTATTGTCTATAAATAACTGCAAGAGTGAATTTTGTATTTACTTTTGCCTTTGTGAACTTGCGTGCAGACCATTCTGGGTGGGGGCATCAGGAAATTCTGTTGTAATAGAAGCAGACGCCTTCAAGGAGTCAGATGTCATCTACAAAGCCCTAAGCTCTAGTGGCCATCATGACATGCTTCATACTGCTGAATTGGTATGCTGCTCAATCATTTCCTGTGCCTCCATTTTGAAAACTTCAACAGAAAAAAAAAATATCAATTTTAAAAGCAACTTTTGTAGAGCTATAAACCATCCGGCTTACCTTCTGGTACCTGTCAGATCACCTCTTCTAAGTACTAACTCCAACTCAAATTTCTTTACTGGGAATCATTTGGCTCCTAAATATAAGTGCACCAATACATTAATTACATGTCAGAGATCCTGTAACTGCTATTCCGTCCCTCAAGTGATCTCTTCTTTGCCCCTCGAGTAGTTTCCAAATGGGCATCTTTGAAAGCTGCAATAGAATCTCTCCTAGTTTACCATTAGTTGAAGAAAACTAAAGATTCCTCAAGTACAAAAGTCCACCTCATTTTCGTGAAACACACTAGTGCTATCTCAAATGCTCAAGGATCTTTAAGAACAGAAAGTCACATCCCTAGTTCTACATTAGCCATCAGAATGATATGATGCAGGAATATGACACACAAGCAGTTCAAATAAAAGTTCAGAACCGGTACAAAATAGGGAAACTAAAAGAAAGAGAAAAACTCATATAGGCCACAAAAGGAAATGAGAACTGAACATTCGAAGAAGCTGACTCAAGAATCTGGAACTCTAAATCATGCAATTTATGAGATGCACCATGATTTTCCAGATGCTTGTCCTATCCAGCCAAAAATCATCATCAACTGTATTATTTGTCATTGGTAGAACCCAGCCAAATGTCAGTATCACTTGAGGTCATTAATCCTACACATGGTTCAGACCTTGATTCCACCCTTATTCTGCCATTGCATTTTGGAATTTCTTGTTTCTTTATAAAATCTTTGACAAAATATGGACATTGATATCCAGGAAAAATATTCTCACTGTGCAGGTGCACCAATCATCTACTGATGCAGCATCATCCCTCCTAGTAACAGCACTCAATGAAGGACGAGATGTGATAATGGATGGCACACTCTCCTGGGTGCCATTTGTTGTACAAACAATAACGATGGCCAGAAATGTCCATCGAAGGCGTTACCGCATGGGAGCAGGTTACAAGGTTGATAAAGATGGAGTTGTCACTGAAAAATACTGGGAACAGATAGATGAAGAACAAGAGAGTAATGGATCCAAAAAGAGAAGACCATACAGGATAGAGTTAGTTGGAGTCGTATGTGATGCTTATTTGGCTGTTGTTAGAGGCATAAGGTATGTGAATTAATTCTGCGATTCTTAACATCCACAACTATCGAAGTAGATAAAAGGAAGAAATAAACTGTACTAAACAAGTTGTAACTAATTTAAAAGCTGCTTTAAAAGGTCAGGCAATCAAGTTCAATCTCACAGGAAGAAGCAAAGTGCCTTAACTCATAACTTTCAAACAGGTGGGGGAGAAAGAAGACTGACATGGTTACCTGTATGTTTCTTCCTTTTGTCTATGCTTATAGGAGAGCCATCATGTGTAGAAGAGCAGTCAGGGTGCAATCACAGTTAAGATCACACAAGAGATTTGCAAATGCATTTACAACGTATTGCCAGTTAGTAGACAATGCCAGATTATATTCCACAAATGCTTTAGAAGGACCAGCCAAGGTACAATCTTTAGTATTTTCTAGTGTTCTGCAGGCACAATAGAAATTACATGAGCCTTTAGCCCCATCTGAATGCCTAAAAACCATGAATTTAGACTTATCTTATTTGTGCAGATCCTAATACATGTTTATTGTACTCTGGTAAAAAATATATCTGATACTAACAAAATCGTTGTTGCTAAAGTTGATAGGATGGAAAGACAAAGACAAGACCCTATTGGTAGACCCAGAGGAGATAGGTATTTTAAAACTCGTAGGCAGATTAAATGAGGAAGCAGACTGCATCTATGATCTCTACAAACGCCCACATCCAGCTTGTGAAAGAGGGTCAATTTGGAAAGACATAGTTTTGTCGCCTTCAAGGTTGAACATACAAAAAGAGCTGAAGTATTCAATCCAGAAAATTGAAAGGTTGAGAGAGTAAGCTAACCTACAACTGTGACTCGTTAAAGTGCTTAAAGTTCAGGAATCTTGACGTTAAGGTCAACAGGATTTTGTTTCTGGCTGGCTCTCAAACAAGCAACAATTATGTTGGGTATAAAATTATTCAAGCTTGAATGTAATTGTACTTTCCCTTTAACGTTCACGGGTCACTTGAGGAGATGAAATGTGGAAATTGGAAAATCTTCTGAGGCTGCTTGTTATTATGAGGAACAAATCAAAAGCGCAAAAAGCAACTTCTAGCTTTCTTTTAGGTACTCAATATGTATCTCTTGAACAGTTGGGCCATGGCAGGCATAAAGCAATCACTGATCATTTGAAGTTTGTCATAAAAAGCAAAAAGCTTCCATCCCAGGATATGTATTCTGGCCAAAAACCAACACCAGAATCAGTGCTATTGTACTTTATTCAAATTGGGAAGATGGTTCAGCAAAAGGGAGTTGAACAGTCAACCTTTTTTGGCGTTAATGCTCTTAATAATAATCCATGAGACAGTTTTCTACTTTGTACTAAACCTCCTGCAAATTTGTTAGATGAAGTTCGTTTCATACTTTTTGAAGTGAAGCAGTTAAACCGGCTTCTTTATTTTTCTATTCCTTTCTTCGAGTTTTGTAGTAGACAAGTTCCAACTTCTTTGACAAATAGATAGAATATTACCTTCATTTTGTTTTCAGTCATCAACCCTGCAGCTGTTGACCATGTGAAGAAATTATGTACTGCATCAACAGGTTCATGGGAAAATGAGAAAATACTCTGCTCTTGCCGTTAATTTGCCTTTTTCTGATTGATGTTCTGCCATTCCAAAACAAGCATCTGATTCTGCTGAGGACCTACAGAGAAAAAAAATGCAATGACAAAATCACCTTTGCAGACCAACATAGATATCTTAGATATCAGCATGATGTATATGGTAATGAGGTAAAGAACCATGATTTATGGGGTCAAAAAACTAAAATCGTGGTACTCAATCACACACTCGAGCATTGATAGGATTCCCATGGCATCCAGCTCATTTGAGAGTAACACTTCTAAAGCCGTAGAGAGCAAAGACATAAACACACTAGATACTTTCTAAAGATCAAAAGGTGTTGCTTAAAGCAAATTATTGATCTCCACCTGCAAAAATAGATCTACTTTAAGATGATATCGAAATTACCTGATCAGGATTTTCTTTTCCTTTTTCATGTCATTTTTCTAGACAAAAACATTCATGCTTTTCTTCATCATAAATACTTTATGATCTTGTTAATGCAAAGAGAAGTAGTTGATGGAACTGAACCAATAATGCAACCCAACTGGGAATGGATAAGGTATGTAACTAATCAGTTGGTCAGTTCTGTTAACAGATAGAGCCAATTAGCAAAGCTGAACTATTCTGTCTAAGGAGTTTCCAACTTCAATTCATATCATTTTACCCCGAACTCCTCCTTGTCTCAGGGCAACTAAGAAATTCCTCCTTTACTCATCTAGTTTATTGTCAATATAGATACCAAACTAATTAGAATATTCCCATGTAACAACTGAAAGATTTAGAACTTTCTTCAAATACTCCACTTGCTGTCATATAGCTTCCTTTTTGCTACAACGCAAGATTGAAACCCTTTGCATAACCAGCTCCCTCAAATGGTACCCAGATCTATTGGCACAGATACAGCAGTCTGATGCTGGCTGGTGCTTCTGTTGATACTGTATCCACTTCATCTTGATCAGCACCCATATTGTATCCTGGTTTCCACGTACGTCATTTTTATACTGTAACCCTTGTAAAACAGATCTATAATCTTTTAACTAAAGCTCTTAATCTATGAGAGTTTTTCTAGTAAGTTCCAAAACTGTTTTGTGAGTCTAGCAAATACAAAATCATTCCCTTCATTTTCCTTTCCTTCATTAAGGATTATCTTACCTTTCAAAAAAAAAAAGGACCATCTTATATGAATGCTTCTCATCACTGAGTCCATGCTTGTGAAAAATTGCAAATTCCCCCAACAGCCGACTATATATCCTCCAGTAAAAACAAAATTTCTGATCAATCCTACAAATCAGCCTGGTACATAGTTATCTCTTGAATTTCCATCAACGTTGATCTTAGTACATATCAGAAGGCAGATAACAGTTAAATGACTAATGATTATTTGTCATCTCTATTTTACCTTATTAATACATATCTTCAAATCCAGAAAGTAGTAGCCACTAATCAACTTAGGAAAGGAAAAGCAAGTACAGGAAAGCAAGAGAAGCAACCAAACCAGGCAAAGAGAGACCATATAAAGACAAAACCACAAGCAAAACTACTTGACAACTAGAGAGCCTAGGTTGATGCCATAAAGCCTAAGGAGAAGTTGTAAAAAGGAAGATCTACAAATGACATTATTCAATGAATTTGTAACTAACAAACTTTCTGTGGCTCAGTTTATGTGAACCTACATTACAGGGGCATAAGTTGGTCATGTATTTAGTCCAATACTTCCACAACAGCTATCAGAAACTCAAGTGAGAAAGTGCTGGAAACATTATACATGGGAAGAACCCAATGGTGTCCTGTCATGCAACCATGAACAGTTAAAATCACAGAATAAACCAAATCGCAAAGAAACCCACACTAGATTAGCTTGAAGTGTTGCAAAGTGATTTTGACAATATTGAACATTACGGACACCTTTGCACCTTTTACTTCTGAGATTGCACAAATATATTTTCAGCAATAACAATGACCGGACACCAAATGGATGCAGTAAATCTCCAAACCCAGCCTTTTCTCTTACTTTCCCCACACAATTTATACAATCGATAGCTGCACTGATATTAGAAAAATAAAAGAATGAGGATTTCAAATGAAGGAGGCTCCTCATACAAGAATCACATCTTGCTCCAGACCTATGTAACAAGTCGCTGCAGAGAAGCTACTGCAAAATGAAAATAGAGATCAAGAAATGTATCACATCCTGGGACATTAGCAACTTGTAAACACTGATCCGCCTTCAATTCATGTGAAAGGAGTGAAACCACATTGTAATCAGATTGAAATTTTTCAGCAAGACAAATATCCTAACGTAATCCAGGACACCAATGTTGTAACCATGTTTTAACGAGACAAACTCTGCAATGAACAAACTGCTGTTATAAAATAAGTTGGTACATGTTATGAATACTATAGGGCTGCCAAAGCAGTGCAGACAAGATTTTGTAAATAATTAACTACCCCATTCTAACATAGAAGCAAACTAACTAAACTCCACAAAGGCATTTGAACTACATAACCTGATATCTCCTTGGAAAAAAAATATGCACTGTTTTTGTGGTAAACTAGTAATTGATTCGTGAAGTCTGGAAGCTAATTGTTTACAGGGTCTAGTTTCATTGTAGATCAAAACTCTGTGCACATAATCAATATCAAAAAGATTGAAGCCTAGTGGTAATCTTCCTGTTGCTCCAAGCATTTCGACGTCAATGAAGGCGAAATACCAAAGAAAAAACTCTGATCATCTTGTTTCTTAAAATTAAGGATCCTGGTTTTTCGCAGGTGATACAGAAAGCAAAAAAAAAAATCCTTCTTTACGATGTGAGCTAATCTTTGCTGCTTTTAAACTACATGGAAAGGACTGTCTAAACACTTCTGACCTGCTGCTAGCGAGTCTATGTTTGGCTACAATAAGCATCTCCTTACCTATCATTTGTCATTCTCCACCCATGCCAGACCAGCATGACTTGTTTGTGATGTAATATGCCACCCAAGCCAAAGAAGCGTGATTTAGATATATAAAGAAAACAGTTTATGCAAATTCTCAGTCACCTAATAAACCATCAGAAGAAACAAACCACAACAAATGGACAATAAGAGCAAAAAAGTAAACAAATAAGGTGAAGTGGTATTCCTGTGCATAAGTGTGTGTGTGCGCGTGAGAGAGAGAGAGAGAGAGAGAACCCTGAACAGATCTCATTTTACTACAAAACAGGTATGCATATGATACAGTTTTGGCGGTGAGAATGACCTAAAATTAGGTTCCTATTAGTTGATTCATGCAATCTATTGATTAAAACAAAATGAAGTATCAACTGCAAGAAAGAAAGCTCAAAGCCTTCTTGTTACATGAACTAAAATAACTCATTTAACAAGACAAAGTTCTCTTGCTTTCACTACACTCTGTGCTCCTACAAATGCAGTAGTTAAGAGGATCAAAATAACAGTGGTAATGTTTACTGAAGAAACAAGATGTATTGGCCCAAAAACACAACAGGAACAGTCTGCAAAATATCAGTGATATGCAGATTCAAGACAAAACTGACTTTGGACATGATAAACCAATGTCCTTAAACATAATACTGAGCCAACTAAACCAAACATATCATGCACTTCATTAGAGTAATTTAGTACTTGGTACATGAATTAGGTAGATAGAGGTTATCTGTACAGAATTCATCTACCAAAAAATCAGAGAGATGCATGTAGAAAACATCATCTACCTAGAAATCTAACTAGGCTATAACTAGTGATGCTGAAGAGGCTTAAAACGTGGTGTAAAATTTGCGCTCAGATAACACATCATTTACCAGGGTCTCATTATTTAAAAAGGAAAAAAAATAAGGCAACAACACACACAAGCAGATATGAGAAGTGCATTCAACCAGTCAGAAAGATGCAAACCATAATCTTGATGTACACCTTTGATTTTCCATTGATTCATCATGTAAGAGTCCTACAAATGAGAGTCACACACATGTTTTCTGGGCCTAGTTTTATCCTTTTCTTTCATTCTACTGAATAGATTACACAAATACAGAACAATTGTTCCACTACCCTGCCAACTCTATAAATACCAAAGACTCCTGTGAAAAATATGATATATCTATGGAGGTTCTGTATTTCTATTAAAGAAACTGATACAAATGCCAAAAAACAAAAAGAGTGGGTATGGGGGCACGATAGCTTGTGAAGGACGTAGAACAAACAAAAAAACTTGGAATTCTATCCCAGAAAGTAAAATAAAAAACGAAATGGAATAAAGCAAAATCCTTTAGAAAAGAAAAGCTCTTGATGTTCATGACTTGCATGGTAGGCAACCAAATTAGGAGAGACTTTAAAATTTTGATAAGCTAGAAGCATGTCCTACTCATTCTACACTTGACTAGGTGACAGTTTTTCACTTCTTTAAGACGTCATTCTTTTGGCATGAGAAAGATGAGTGTACCAGCTGTATTCGAGCACAATGAAGTCCTACTGAACAGATGGTGATGATCCTGCAAGGGCACAGTAGTCTGTTAGAAGTTAGAAGGGGCACCTGAACTAGAACTTAAGATGTGCATAAATAAAACAGGGAAGTCATTTGTACTATTAGGAAACTAGTCCATCCGTAAAAGGCAGTGCAACAGAGATTTACTGGCAAGCTACGGAAGCTAAGACAACAGGCACAGGATGGTTGTGCATTTTCTTAACAACTTGTCAAAAGGACAATGTGAAGCTGCCTTAACATCACGCTGTTAATCGAGCCAAGTCGAGTATTTGATTCTCAAACTCGACTCGTGCCTCTATCAAGCCATGCTCGAGCTCACTCGACTAAGTGGATGAGCCTTGAAGTGTGCTCAAGATCAGCTCGACAAACGGGACTTGTAACTCGAGCTCGAAATCTCAAACAACTTTTATTGTCAATTTTGGTGATATTCATACAAATGCAACAATTCAATCACACAAGTTTTATGAAATGACATATATGCCATTTCTTATCAAGCCAAAATGAACTGCTCGAATAACAAACAATTCGAGCTGGCTTGGCTTAATTAATCGAATATATTTCTATCTCAAACTCGACTTGTTTACTGAAATTAACGAGTCGAGCTCGAGCATTATCGAGTCGAACCCATTTGAGATATCGAGCTACTCATTTCATTTAACAGCACATCACCCGAATATTTCAAGGGAATTTTCACAAAGTTTCCAATTGGTTTTACTGAAGTTTCTGTATGGTCTATGACTCCCCAGCAGCATTTAATTTAAAACTGTGAAACCTCATATTGATAAAAACTGAAATGACTTCTCTGGAGACGTTTGATAAGCCAAATGTCAGTATGTCACCCTTTTCCTTTCTCCCATGAGACAGAAGTAAGGAAGTTCAGAACTCAAACTACCTCTGATGAGTCAACTTTGTATTTCAGCTTTCTGCCTTGACTGCAGTAGAGAGTTCTTCAAAAGGTAGGAAATTCTTTGTGAGAGGTAAATTAGCACCCCAGTTGCTTGATTAGATTACAGTTCCATTTCGTTCACATTCAAGGGCATCAAAATAACTAGTGTCTTTTAACGACAATGATTCTGAAGACCAGCATATGCAAGTATACAACCAAACGATTTACCAGATGAATTCTGCACATATCTCAAGTTCTTTCATTAGGTCCTAAGCTGCCTGAACAGATGGATCTGGTTTCCGGATTATTATAGCCTCCTTGAGTGTAGTCCCGCTAGCCATGGATGCATATTAGTATCACTTGCATGCAAGAATTGCAGAGACAGATGAATTAGTAAAACTTCCTTCTCACGTCGTGCATGGAATCAGCTGTAAAAATCTACAGCACCCAGATATGATACCTTAATGCCCAGGGAATCAGTGACAAATATTAGAGAGTAGCATCCTCCACAAATAGTAATCTTCCAGATGTGAATCCTCAGAACACTGACACTTCCATCAATGTTCAGCAAGCAGAGCTGCAAAATATCAATTTTCGGCAGCCCCAGTTATTTAATGAAGGTTTCTAGCTCAAATAAAAATGTGAATGCATTAACTTTGTATGTCTAAAATTGACAGGGATATCTACGCTCATTCCTCTTAAACAAAGCAGAAACACCGGATAAATACTAGGCATTGTGCAACGATAGCAGAAGTAGTATATTTTCTTTAGGCAACGGCAATTATGATGCAGTTAACTTGAATCCACTGCAAGCAAGTGCCAAGACGACAATAAATGCAGAGACAGCATTACCCAACAATCTACTGCTTGAATCGATATCAATAGCATTCATAACAGCCAAGTCTTTGTAACCATCGAAGAGTTCCAGCAATAGCTATAGCCCATTGCAAATAAAGGAGAAAGTAAAACAGAAGCAGAATTTGATGGTCTATGCGTATGGTATGACTACTGTAAACACGCAGACAAGTGTTTTTTGGTTTGACCACCTGAGAAAGATATGCTGGTTGTTTATGGCCTGCGCATATTTTTAGTTGTGTTCAAGCTTTTATCCTTCAACCATCGGCCATTGATAGCTTTCTAGGGTTTCCCATATATGAAATCCCAAAATGACTCATGCTGCATTTCCTAAAATGCATGGCAAAGTCGGGAACTGTCTTTGGCCCATAATGTTAATCGTTATTTAATAGTAAAGAAAATACTAGCAGAAACAATTCCGATGAATGATATATGATCAATAAAAATACGCGTCTCATACTCACTGAAGCAAAAGCTCAACCCCGACTGCAAATTACGCAACGCAACCACCAGAATGGCGTACATGGGACGCCTCTGCTTTATTATCTTAACCCGTAATTTGTACAATCTCACCGGACCATCGCTTCAATTCAACCCACTTCCTAACTTGTGCCGCCCGTAAACCCTAATCACCACTTTTGCCAAACCAAGTGCTAGTAGCTCCCAACGATTTTTGAAGACGACTACTGAAATTGAAATAGTAATCGAAACGATAATAATATGAGCAGAACGCCAAAAATGTAATGTGAGGAACCATAAAATGCTACGAAAATTCATCATCTCACTAAAGATTCAACATTATCACTACACCTAAACCCCATGTTTCAATCCCACCGTGACCGTGACTACTATATCAGCCAAAAAAAAAAAGGAAAAACTAAAAAAATTAAAATGAAAATGTTAACCCCCCCAAAAAAAGAAAAAAAAAACCCGGTCCTGTAATATTTTTCCTACGGGCGCAAATACGCCCACAAACTTGACCACATTTACATCTCTAGCCCTACAACAAACAACTATTTTCTCCTTTCTCTCACTTCCTCCCCCTCTTGGCCGTTGCTTTCTTCGCCGGTGACTTTACTGTCTTTGGCTTGACGCTCTTTGCCGGTGCCTTCTTGGCCGGCGCCTTTTTTGCCGCCGCCTTTGGAGGTGCGGCTTTCTTCCCTGGAGTGGTGCGACTTGACGTCCGGGCTGCCTTCGCCGGCTTCTTCTCTGGCTTTGACTTGGGAGCCTCCTTGCGCTTCGCTGGAGTAGCCTTGGGTTTGGAGGCAGCAGCCTTGGGCTTTGCAGCAGCAGCCGCCGCCGCCTTGGGCTTGGCAGTGGGCTTAGCCTTAGCAACTGGCTTGGCCTTTGGCTTGGGCTTGGGCTTGGGCTTTGCTGCAGCGGCTTTAGCCTTTGATGAGGCCGGAACAGCAGCCTTGGCCTTTGGCTTCGCTTTTGCCTTAGCCGGGGCCTTCTTGTCCTTGGTGGTGGCAGCCTTGCTAGCCTTGGCCTTGGATGCTGGTAGCGGCTTCTTCTTCACCGGCGCAGTTGCAGGCTTGGACCGAGAGGGCGGAAGCTTGTAAGAGGCCTTGACTTTCACCAGCTTTCCGGACGCCACAAGCTTCTTCAATTGAACCAGCAACAGCTTCTTGAAGTTAGAAGGAAGGTTTTTCTGCTTATCTTCGATGAACTTCGCGATGGCATACTGGCTAGAACCTGTTTTCTCCTTCATCGTAACAATCGCATCCTGGATCATCTGCAAGGGACAAATTCGCCATAGGAGAAACAAATGTCAGATCTAAAATCACGAAATTGATTCCCCCACCCCTTCCCAGGTCAAAATCAAAACAAAAAGCCAAAAGAAGATCTAGAAGCAATTAAAGGCTTATAGTGATTAAAATGCCCCACGGTACCCAAATACGGAAAACAAACAGATAGGTATACCTCAAAGTACGGAGGATGGGTCGGAGCACCGCGCTTCCTCGGCGCAGGGGGCTTCCTAGCCCTGGGCTCTTTGGCCTTCTTGGACTTTGCGGCCTTTGGGGCAGGATTCTCCTCCTGAGCGGCCTCGGCCTCCACCTCCACGGCTGCGGTGGTTTCGACCACGGTGACTGGTTCCTCGGTGGCCATTCCCAGATATCGGGAAAACTAGGGTTAGGGTTCGGGGATTTGGGGAGAGAGAGGACAAAATTCGATCTAAAACGATGAATGAATCTAAGATGGAGAGACTGGAATTGAATCCAACGAACTGATACTAGCAGCCAGATTGCAGGAGAGAGGTGAGGTGTGCGTCAAATGTGGTAAAATGGGAGCATATAAATACAAAGTGTTGAAGAGCTCATATCTGATAGCTGAGGGGTGATTGGTGGAGAGGCCTTTGACGCGGATCGAGAACCTTGTGAATTTTTGAATTTAGACCCTCGGATTAAATTTCATCGACGGCTTAGGACGCGTGGTGTGCTCAGACTTGGATTTGGGACTCAAAGAAACCTGCCTGTTTTGCATTGGTCCGGTGAGTTGTGTTTTTCTGCTCCATTGTTTTGGGCATAACTTGAGATGAACTCGACGGATTTTGATGAGGTTTTTTTTGAACGTTAGGAAATTTCATAAGCTTTCCGGAGAGCGTTCACGTTCCCCGTGAAAGTAATCCGTTGGGGAGATATCTTGCTCAGAAGCCAAAGTGGTCGTGACCAAGGTTTACTTGGAGTGTATTGTGATTTTGGAGAATTATCAGAGAATGTTTCAAGTTAAATTCCGATTTCAAGATCAGGGTTGGTACTCCTTTAACTGAGGAATCCGTGGAATCAAGAACTGTGAATAACCGATAACATTTTGGTGGAAAATTATTTGCTCGAACGCCACTCAAGATGAACACTTCTACCAAGGGTGTGCATGCATCAGGTTGTACCCAAGCATTTCCCATGCACTTTCTTGTAACATTTTGAGCCCGATCCCGTACTTTATTTTCACAGAAAATGTAAATAGTCATCGCTACATCAGTTCGTTAATCTTCATCACCCAATCCATAAGTTGAATCTTGGAAAAAAAAAATTTTAAAAATTTTTTGTTTCTTGTGTTATGCTGTGCTGCAATGTTACTTAATTGCGTGCACACAAGAAGCTGGTTCTTGCTGCTCCAATGGCACGACGGTTTATCTGCTAAATCTCCTGCAATCAAACACCAAAATCTTGCAATAGATCCTGCTGCTGGTTGCTTTTGTGCTCGTCGATGTACTACTTACTATTTGGTATGGTGCACGTATTTCAACAGCATTAGTCCGAGGAACGAACGCTCATTAGCAATACAACACAATACACAGGGGGCATGAATTGTCCCGTCCAAATCAAATTCCTTTGATATTAACACCAGATTACTAGTACATCTATTCATCAACCTTTTACCAAAATCGAGACTTCATAATTCTGCTACCCATAAATGTAAGTGGCAAAAGTTCGTTCACGTATTGGTAGCTTTTGTTTTAGGGGAAAAAGCTCTCATGTTGAACGATTTCCGTTTTCACTGCTTGCTCCTCTTGAGCGACCTCCACAACATGTATGTATGTATCATGCAACAATCTAATGGTGTTGCTAAGCGCATTCAAGGTTTTCCAAAAGAAAGAAAGATTTTTTTTGGACATACATGGTTTTATTTTGCTAATAAAGACTATTTATTACTCATGGTAAAAAAAAAAAGCATCAGCTTATTGCTTATGGTTCTGTGAAACTCTCTTGATTACAAAATCAAACTCAAAATTTTGTGCGTCCTGAAGTCTGTTAGATGTCTGCCATAGCACTTAAAAGAAGAACCAAAAGATTAACGCAGCAAGTTTGGATTACTTCAAGTGGTTGGGAGTGTGTGCAACTCTGCTGGAAAAATCCGATCTACTCCTATTAGTAACTAGTTAGCATCCATTGCACAAAATCACCAAACTTTCCAACCTTCATTTGTTTTTTACGTTAAAAAAAAAAAATGAACGAATTAACGTCAAAGCAGTAAAAACTAAAACTTATCTATTTGAGTTCTAGTCAGTTGTTTCACAAGTGTAAAACTTTTTTTAACGTAAACCCCAGTTTGTTTTAGTTAAACTGTGTAGATTAAATGACAGCATTTATGCGATGACACATACTTGATTTGAGCAATCAAACAATGCAAGATGCTTTTACTGCAGGTTTCAGCAGATCTACTCTACTGGAACCTGAGACTGTTAACTTTTAAAGCCAATCTATATAACGATTATTTGGTTTCCTAATTGGTTTGTGTGTCTTCTCGTGCTAGTCATTTCATGTGGCAAACTCTCATGAACTGGACGCCAAAATACTGCTCATAACTGTTAAAATTACTCATCTAATAGCACAGAGCACCTGATATAATGCTAAAGACTTGAATTTGCAAGCCAAATCTGACCCTTGAATGGCTACACTAGTCATCGTGAAGTTTTTGGTTTGTACTGCAATGTATAGATAGACAAGTGACTTCTCTTTCCTTGCAATGCCTGCATACCATATTCCTTCCTTCCATGAAAGGGGTTTTGTAATAGGCAAATCATGGTAGAACACTTTCTACATGAGCTAAAAAAGGTGCTTGACGTAACATGTTACACAGCCAATATGAGCAAAACTAACATGAGTTAAAGCCAGTATTAAAAGCTCCTTGTTGAAATAGTAAGATGCATATTATTGCCATGGACTTGAAACAGAGGAATTAAGAACATCCTATCCTACCAAAACTTGTAAACAATGCCATTAACGACATCAAGCAATAGCAATCATTGTGGTTACACTAAAGGATAAAATGAGTATAACCTATGTTCCAAATTGTTGGGATCAAAAAACTTGATCAACTAACTACATAAGCTTAGAACAACAACTTACGGTGACTAAAACAACTGGCTCAAATAGATCTTAGAAGGCCAGTAAAGTCTTTAGCATGCCCTAGAATCGCAATGAATGGTGTGGAAATCAGGAGTAACTCCTGTGTCGTGAAAGCTTGGAGTGCTATGTCACCTTGTAAGTCGAATAATCGATTTTCCCTACACTTGATTCCAATGATCAAAATATAAATGTTGTTCTTTGTTACACATTACAATGCATCACATTCCTTGTATTGCATAAACTAACATTTTTTCACTATTACTTTGTCAAATAGATGAAGAAAGAAATCAATTTTCTTGAATTATCAAGCATCTGCACGATGAGTTTTTGGTTTGATTCATCATATCACCTGTTAGCATATCTTTCTTCCACATTCTATCACGCATATACCGAGCAGAGCATACTTCAAGTGTTTGCAGTGGAATAGACAACAACACATGCATTTCTCATCCAAATTTTGTGCAATGAAAGTTATAGAATAGAAACCTTTCATATTAAAAGGATAAAGGCAATTTCTCAAGTATAAATGATCATACAAGAGTATCTAGTTTGAGAGGTAAAAGATAAAAAACTCAAACGTTAAGGACCATGGGTGTAATTTTCACTCTATTTTCTAAATATTGTGAACATTACCCTCAATGTGGATGTTTGCTAGAGTTAAGCATTAGCACTTTTGTCAAATTTGGGTAAATTGCAGCAATTTCAGAAACTCATGGGTCCGTTTTCTTAATCATGAATTTTACAAGGACTTTAGGCAGAACCCAAAAAATTTAAACCCCACGTTGACAGACCTTGGGTGTGTCGCGAGTTGCTGGACTTGCTAACACTATTGGGTTGGACAATGAGGTCACGGGGATTGATGTCATGTTTGGGCCTCACTTAAGTTTTTCTACATGTAGAGTCACTGTCATTAGTAGGCCAATGTGGACACACCTTTATTAGTAGGTCTTAGGCCCATAAATATATTTGAATGGAAACAGGCGAAATGGCTGAGAGATTTGGAACTGGGTCCGAGGTTCCTTGTGAATTCACATGCCACGATTCTGAAGTGGGCCTAATGTTGAGGTTTGCATTTGTGGGCATTCCTTATAAATACGCGAATTGGTAGGCATTTGTGGGCTTGATGAAATGCCCGCTCACATTTGCTAGGAAACTCTGGAGAACCTCAGATGACTTTAGACCAACTCAACACCGACAAAAAATAATAATTCGAAATTAAAATTTTGAAAAAGGGCCTAATTTTTGTTTGTTCTGATTTCAAACATAATGTGCTCAACAATTGAGTACTTAACTATTATGGGGGGAAAAATCAATCAACTACTTGACACCTCATTTCAGTACTAGAAATGGGCACGTGATACCCGTCCATGAAGCATTTGACTAACCAATTTCATATTTGCGAGTTAGTCATTTTTTGATCCTTACGAGTTTTGCATATGAATAGATATCTGATTATCTAGTACACACTAGGAGAGGATCGGACTAGCGGGTCCTTTTCCCTCCTCTCTTACCATATACCTTTAAAAAAAAAAAAGGAATAATGTATACTAATTTTGTTTTGGGAAAATTGTCCAAAACATCCCTCATATTTTATAAAATGACTTTTTTCGTCCCTTACTTTTAAAAGTGTAATTTTATGTCTCTTACATATTCATATCAGTCAAATTTAGTCCCTAACTAGGTTTTCGATCATTTTTTTGCCGGATTGCACGTGATCATTTTTTAGGGGTAAATTTGTTAAATTATATTTTGTATAATCTAATTTATTGTTCCTCGCATTTCATAAAATAAATTTTTTCGTCCTTTACATTTTATAAAATGATTTTTATCATCCCTCATATTTCATAATATGAATTTCTCCATCTCTCACATTTCAAAAAATGAATAATTGTTAATATGACTATAGCTTGTTATATGTAAGACATTAACAATTATTTATGTAATTGGGTCCGGCTTGTTGACTATCTTCTCTTTTTGTATGATTCTGACTAATATTTACCAATAGAACTTTAATTTGCATATTCTTATTGTATTTTGACAAAAAATAGCTTTATTGGCCAACTGGACAATGAATACAAAATTTGTTACTAGCTAATACCAAATGAAATCAAATGACCGCATATAATATATGCTATTCGTATTGTTAAGTGAAATCAAATGGACACATACATGTGTTTATACTATTCATATTATTAAGCGAAATCAAATAAACATATGCATGTGTTTAAAAATAATGTATTCACACACATAATTAGTGAGGAATGACAAATTTATTTTTTGAAATGTGAGGGATGGAGAAATTCATATTGTGAAATATGAGGGATGAAAAAAGTCATTTTATAAAATATGAGGGACGAAAAAATTTATTTTATGAAATGTGGGGGACTACAGATTAGATTATGCAAAATATAATTTGACAAATTTACCGATAAAAAATGATCACGTGCCTTGCACGTGATGGAATCCGGTTAAAAAAATAATCGGAAACCTAGTTAGGGACTAAATTTGACCGATGTGAATATGTAAGGGACGTAAAATTACATTTTTAAAAGTGAGGGACGAAAAAAATCATTTTACAAAATGTAAGGGACGTTTTGGATGATTTTTTCTTTTGTTTTTTATTTCACATGTTTGTCTAAAATCAATAAATATTTTACGAAAAAAGTTTTGTACTGATAAAGAAGCATCCAATAATAAAATTACATGGAAATTGATCGACCAATCTCCAATACAACTCAAAACAATATGATTTGTTCCTCAAATTCAATGCTCTTAGCAAATGCTTATACGCAAAGCATGAAGTTTTAATATTAGGCGTAATTAAATAAATAAGATAAACAATGTCCTAGATCAACTAAACATTGTTCAAAAAAAAAAAAGGGGTTATAACTTTGTGTACAAATTATAAGCTCTCCTAATTGGGTAATAATTTGATCAACGAAAATTTAATTATATTTAAAATTGACATTTTTGTGCGCGAGGGTGTGCATATGTATATTACTGTAAACTCTGGTAGTCTGCCTGTGATACCATGGTGTATTGGATCGAGTAATGGTTGAGTTGTGGGTAATTTTATTTTACACGCTTGTCGGATTGGCCGCTGCGGGGTGGGTCCAGATAAAGAGGCGTCTGACCTTTTCCACTTAACTGCCGGCGCGCAGATCCACGTGCTCATCCGTACTGCTTCGTTTTTTCCTACACCTCCCCAAGAGGACCCCACCCCCAAACACCATTCATCGCTTTCTATCTCTCTCTCTCTTCTCGCTATCCCATTACCAGTAATTAATATCTTGTCCAAGTGTCCGGTGGCTTGACCCGCAGGACGACTTTTTTAGCTGCCATACGCCGCCGCCTCATTCATTATCTCCCTCGCCGCGGGAATTTTGTCAACACTCCCTTGCTCGACGACTTTTCTGCCTCGTCGAATTAAACTACTCAATTACTACTACTTGTAATTTGAATTGAATATCGGAAGCATGTCAGATTTTTATAACAACATGCATATATAAAATTTTATTACTCCCTCCGTCCCATTTTGATAGTCCTGTTTCTTTTTTCACACAGTTTAAGAGAAAGTAGTTAACTTTGTTGGAAACGTAAATTTAGATTGCTATTTTCCTAAAATACCCTCACATTAAATAGAGTACAACTTTATGGGAACTTAAATTGATGGTAAAAAAGAATCAATTCTCATTAAATGGGGTAGGTTCATAGCAACAACAACTTGTATTGATTAAGGGTATTTTAGGAAAATGAAAATATAACTACATTCTTCAATTGGAAAGTGGACTGCAATTTGGGACAGAAAAAAAAGGAAAACAGGACTATCAAAGTGGGACGGAGGGAGTAATAGTTATTAATATCATACTGAATTTTAAATATTTGCGAAAGTATCAAAGAGTTAAGGAATAAAAATATGAAAAAAATGGGAATGAGAATGTAAGGTAGAGGTGAATTAAGAAAAAATAGCAGCTAAGAATAAAATGCAACTTTAAAAATCACACCATCTATCGTATATCTATTTTCCGTGTAATTTGTACTTAGCATGCATTTTATGTTATTCTTTGATGAGAAGTTTTTTTTTTCTTGGTAGTTGTTAAGTTAATTTTTGCGGGTGGTGGTATGAGTCCCTACTAGATTTTTTTTTTTCATTTTTGTGCTCTTGCAAAAGAAAAAAAGTTCTATTTGGTTTGTGATTTTCGACAGAAAACTTTTTACATTTCCGTGAACATATTTTTCAATTATTTTTTTATCTCACATATATCAAATACTTGTAGTGCATTAAAAAAAAAACTCTTGAAAATAACAGTCCAAATTAAATCAAACAAAAAAAAAAGATTTAACTAGCACCTCATAATGTTTGTATTTACTATTCAAACTTATATCCAGCAATCTACAAATAGTTTTCTGCCCCACTTTCAGCTTCACCTTTCATTGTCATTTGTTCTTCACGAACATATTATTTTAAATCTTTTTTTTTTGTTTCCATAAGTTCTAAGAAGTAATAATAGCATAAAAAATAAAAAATAATAGAAATTTCATGCATTTTACGTTGTATGTTTTTCTATTATATAGTGTTGTTTCAACATTTTTGTATTTTTTTCCTACCTCATTATTAGTTATTTGATCTTTAGAAAACAAAATAAAAATAATACAAGGCAACGAAATGGAAAATCTTTTACGCCCCAATGTCCCACAAAAGAGCCGGGCCGCCAAATTTTGATTGCACTGGCTCTAATACGTCAACACTCAACGCGTATAAGAGATGCAATATTCGTCATTATGACAAATGACAACAACTAATACGGTGATTAGAACTTCCTATATTTTGACTGAGTATTGCATTCAACCAACTACTTTAAAATATTGACAACGTGCTTAAAATCGAGATAACAACACCATTACTGAATCGAGCGTAGGACCGCGCAAGCACTTAATGACAAGCTTCAGCTTCCACCAGGCATCCATTAGCACCACGTTTCATTCAGCGTCCGCGTACATCTACGGGAATTGGGAGACGGAAACCATTTGACTCGCTGGGAGTTGAAAGGTCCAAACTACCGAATCATGCACGTTTCCAATGCCAGCAGCCCAATACAAGGAGGGACTACAGCTACTACTACTACTTACTACCATGGCAAATCGACTTGGGCTGATTGCAAATTTTGAGGTCCCACCCGTTACATGATTGATTGAACGAGAGCTCAGATGGGATCCCCAACACCATGATGTATTGTCAAGCTCTCACCAGAGCGAGAGCGGTCATTTTTTTTAACTACTTTTATATTTTACATATATTATATTAAAAAAATTTTACAATATTTTTTTAAAAAATTATTTCAAATAATCTCCTTCCCCAAACAGCTACCTTGAGTCAACTCAGAGCCGTTGGACAGGAATTTTTGGAGTTAAACTTGTTGGTAAAGAATCTAGAATTGCAAACGAATCGAGCTCAATCAATATCGACCTGGAGTTGGTTCGAGTCAAAATCGAACTCGAACTCGAGTTCAAGATATTAAACTCGTTAGCTTGCGAGCCGAGTATATATATATATATTATTTTAAGTATATATATTTTTTATTTTAATAGTAAAATTATATATATTTTGAATATTTTATTATTTATTTAAAAAATATTATTTTATTTATTTTTTAAAAAATAAAAATAATTTTTGAGCTCGAATACGCTCGAATTTAAAATTATCGTCTCGTTCAACTCGACTTCGAGTTCACTAAAATTATATCAAGGCTCAATTTAATTAAGATAAAATTCGATTCGACTGAACCGTCTACTGTCCTAAAAGAGCCAAACTGCAACGGCCATTGCATCCATTAATTAGCAACAGCCGTTGCTGCAGTAATGTCAACTAACAGCAAATACTAGTGGCGCCAAAACGTCAAGTAATTGCCAATGATGACGTAAATGTAGGAGTGGTACTGGTACTTACTGATACCTACTATCTTGGGATTCACATTTCACCCGTGCGTAGAGGTGAAAACTCTCAGACAAGACGGCAGGATCGCGGTTATAGCTAAATGGCTGCCTATTCAACGGCAACATCTTACACTGCAACCGTGCAGTTAATGCTATATACCTGTTCAACAGTTTAAGAAAAAAAAAAAAAAACAATCAAATGGTCCAAAACCAAAGGCCATTCCCCCTTCGTACTAAGAAATTCATCGCCTGAAAAGAAGAAAAAAAGGCAATAAAAAACCAAAATCATAACCGCAGAGCTGTCGGCGTTCTTTAAGACATCTATAAATACCTCCAAACCCTATCCCAACTTTTTCCCTCGCCCCCCCCTTCCTCTCCCAACTTTTTTTTTTCCCATGGATGTCGACCACCTCCACCAAGAGCACAACAACGCCAACGCCGCAGTACGTCGCGGCGTTCAGGTGACTCCTTCGTCTCTTCGAGTTGTCAAGGAGTCTCACTTCCGCGGTGTCAGGAAGCGTCCGTGGGGTAGGTACGCTGCGGAGATTCGCGATCCCTGGAAGAAGACTCGACGGTGGTTAGGGACCTTCGACACCGCGGAGGAGGCTGCTTTAGCCTACGACGAGGCTGCAAGGAGCCTCCGTGGTCCTAAGGCGAAGACTAACTTCGGCAGCCCAGCTCTTACTCCCATGTCGTTTACGCCGCCGGTTATGGTGCAAGTCCCTTCCGTCAATCCGACGGGTTTAGCTGAAAACTTTCCGCATTGGTGCTCGCCGGCGTTTTTTGCCACAGATGAAGCCGATCGCAGCACGGAGAGGGCCGCTCGGTCGGAGTACACTGGATATAAGCTAGAAACTATAGGCGTGATGATGAGCGAGAGAGAAATGGACTTCAAGGGTGAGAAGAAGCCTTTTCTCTTCGATCTGAACCTCCCGGCACCGCTCTTCTGATCGGCCGGCGGACTGCTGTTTTTACAACATGGATCGACTCGCGACCTGGAGAACAAAAACAAAAGCAAGAACACTGAATATTTTTTTTTCAAGTGTTCGCCGGAGCAGAGATTACGGTTCTTTTCTCTTTTGTTTAATTTAGCCTCCTTTTCGGCTTATAGTGTACAGTTTATTCCTGTGGTTTTCGGGCTCCAATTCCGTCGTTGGGCTTCTCTTCTTATTTTGGTCGTAATTAATTCTAGAATTTCCTTCAATCGTATGTATGTTCTTCATGCATATATACATACATATATATATTTTTTGCTTGAATCGGATACTAACTATTTTATAGAGATATCACTAGTGCATGCTTAAAGAAAAGCCCAAAAATATGAAAGGTCTTTGTCGTCGATCGGATAATAAGGCCACTCAACGGGTGGTTTGGATTGTTTTGCTTCTCCAAACCGCAGCAGGGAAAAAAAAATTCCAAAATTCGTCTGAAACAAATGAATCTGTCGAATCACTATAATGATAAAATTTTCACCTCTTGGGCTGCTCCGTAATGTCTATGTTTTCATTTGTTGGAATTTTATGGAAGCCTATGCTGGGGATTTACGAAAAGCCTGTTCCTGTCCGAAGACTTGCGAGTCCTGAAGTCAATACTGTTTAGCTGATTACGGTTCTCGAGATCTAAACCCCGGGCCCTTTAGGATCTAAATTCACAAAAAAAAGAAGAAGGATAATTCGGCATTCAAGTCCAAGAGATGTGACAAGTTACTAATTATAGATATATGAGATTATTTGAAATATTATTTAAAATAATTATTGTAATATTTTTTTTTGTGATATAATATATGTGAAATAAAAAAATAATTAAAAAGATGTATTAAAAAATTGTGTTTGTGATATAGGCGGATAATTTTTAACCAAATAATGACTATCCAAACACACTTGGTACCGGTGCCACCATTGGATTGTGATTTTTCTCTAAAACCGTTATGATATATTTTTCTACCACAACTCTCCAAAATAGTTATCCAAACAGGCAATTGGTGCACCATTCGAGCATGGGGTATTGAAACAGGTAGAAATTGACAACTCCTTGATGGAAATTAATTTGAAAGTTTCAGCACACATAGCAGGTCGGCAACCGGTAAAAGCCTTTAGTAGTAGCTTTTTTTTTTTTTTTTTTTTTTTTTTTTTGGTTGTGGAAGGGATAGCTTCAAAAACCCTTCATTGAACTTTTTTGACAAATTTGTTTGGCATCCTGGAGATTTCAAATATTACACCTACAACCCCTATTTTGACTTTTAATGCAACAATGACAACCCATGTCCATGAACAGCTAGAAATTGGCAACTCCTTGTTGGAAATTAATTTGAAAGCTTCAGCCCACATTAGCAGGTCAGTAACTGGTACAAGGCTTTCGTAGTTTTTTTTTTTAAGGGATAGCTTCAAAAACCTTCTCTAAGATTTTTGACAAGTTCATATTGCTTCCCTTGAAATTTCAAATATAATACCTACAACCCTATTTTGACTTTTAATGTAACAACGTCAACCCATGTCCATAAACAATTCATATAAAATGCTAAAAAGTACCTTCATTCCCAACCAAAAAAAAAAAAAAGGCAATTCATTAAATGGTGCCTTCATTTCTAGGGCGTATAAAGAAGAATACAACAAATTCAACCAAACAATGACAATTCGTTAAAAAATGAGCAAATTTTATATTGAAAAATTACTCATGGCATGGTATAGCGAGTTAGATACATTTGAACTAAACCATTAGAAGGAATTAAAATCTAAATATTGATGCCTGAAAATACTTTATTTTTCCGAACCATCAAACCTATCCCTCTCCCCAATGCTTGAAAATACTTAGTATAACAAGAATTTGAAATCACAAATTCAACATTTTTTTTAAAAAGGCTTGAAATTGTAAAAGAAAGAAAAAGAAATGGGCGCATTCCCTATTAGTAATAACAAAGTCGACCAAACTGCCACACTTTTTTTGGCAAGTCACATTATCAAATTCAATAGCATTTAAAAAAAAAAAAGATATCTTAATTTGACGAACAAAATTTGATATTTTTCTCAAGTATTTCTTTGTGTGAAATTTTATTTATTTAATTCTCTCAATGACCTTTTTAAAATTTTCCTTTTTTTTTTAATTACTTTGTTATGATGTTAGCCTATAATAATTTGTAAGATCAGATCATTTTCTTTTTATTGCATTTTTATAGTTCTTCTTTTTTCAGTTTAATCTGTTATGTTAGTATGCTTGGATGTTTAAGAAAGAAAATGCTTTTCAGCCTTTCATATCATTCAGATATATCAGCTGACTTTGTTACATATAAAATTCAAGATAATGTAGGTAAGTGTAATATTTAAAACTATTGGGGAGTCAAGTAAACTTGTTGGAAACCTCGAAGGAGATCTCTGAAATTATCCTCTCTTTTTTTTTTTGGCACACCAAAACTTAAGATCCACAATGACGGGCAAAGAAAATCGTAGCATACAGGTCCGTGAATTGAATGGTGGAAAACCCAACCAAGAGGCCCAAGACGCCAAGTCTGATCTCATCCTTCTCACTAGAAACACTCAGGACTTAATCAACAGAAAATTATGCTCTCATTGGGACGGTTAGTAGGATCGAGCCTTAAGTTTAACTGGATCATATACAATTTAGAACTTGGACTTACATATACATTTGGATTTAATTTAATTGTGGGTCAAGTCTAAGCTTTACGATAAAGTACAGCCTGAATAATTTAATATATAAACATGTGTTATATGTATAATAATGTAAACAGTATATAATTATCCATATTATTAGTATACAAAAAATTTGATAAATTTTTTTTTTGTTTTTAAAAAAGGATCTATAGTGGTTGCTCAATTATCTCCTCAAAGACTCTGCTTGTGACCTCTCAATTACATATAAAATCTCTTATTAATTAGATTGCGCTTCATTGTCACAAAAAACAATTAATAGCTTATATATTATTATATATATTTGTGACCTCTCAATTACAGGTAAAATCTCTTATTAATTAGATTGCGCTTCATTGTCACAAAAAAAAATTAATAGCTTATATATATATATAACTATGGGCATGTTTGGAACCTGAGTTTTTTTAGGAGTTTGTCTAAAACTTTACTGTAGTGCACTGTAGAAATTTTTTAAAAAATTTTGTAAAAATTTTTGTAAGGTGAAAAATTTTGTAGAAGTTTTTGTAAGGTGAAAAACTTTTTTTTTTCTTTTTTTTCTCTTTCCCTTTCTTTTTCTTTTTCTTTCTTTCCTCTCTTTTTTTTCTTCTTCTTCTTCTTTTTCCCCGTTACCTCCGCTACCCCCAGCTGCAACTCCACCTCCCGCCGCCCTGCCTTCCCCCTCCCCCAGCCGCCTCTCTTTCCCCCGTCTTTCCCCTTTCCCCGCCGCCTCTCTCTCCCCCCCCTCCCCCTCCCCCGCAGCCCCCTCTGCTCCTTCCCTCTCTCCCCCGCCGTCCCCCTCCCCGCCTTCCCCCTCCCCCTCCTCCCGCCACCTCTCTCTCTCCCGCCTTCCCCCTCTTCCCGCCGTCCCCGTCTGCCCCTTCTCCCTCTGCCCCTCTCTGCGCCACCCCCCTATGCGCCGGACGTAGAGAGAAAAAAAAAAGACAAGAGAGGATGATGGCAGGGGAGGAAGAGGGGGAGAGGGAAAAAAAGGAGGAAAAAAAAAAAGACCGACACCGGCACCGGCACCGGAAATTGGTGATGGAACCGGCAATGGAGGTGGTGGTGGGAGAGGAAGAAAAAGAAAAGGGGAAGAGAAATTTTTTTTTTTTTTGTGTTTTGGATATTTTAAGTGTGTAGGTTAAAAATTTTGATAAGTTTTTTGAGATTTCTGTAGCAAAAATTGTTAAAAAACTAGTTTTATACAAACTTGGTAAAAAACCAAGCTTCCAAACCGGGCCTATGTTTTAATTGTGTACTTGAAAGGAGCCCGACCTAAACCCAAAACTCCAAGATATATATGTGAGTCGCGCAGCACAAGTTGTACTTGACTTGCCAGTGTGACATGGGAGTATGGGACCTCACTGACCGCCTCTTTTCAGTGTACGTAACCCATGTCAAGGAAATTAATGTCTTGGGATGCAGGTTTCCAACGGAAAATGTTGGTCCAATTTTCAAACCAAATTTAACAATACTCTGTCTGGCTTTTTTTTAATCCTTTTTAGGCCCCCCTGGAAGCAAGCAGCAACTAATTGGTCCATGACAAGAATAAACACGCACATGATGAGAGCGGTCTAGTAGGTGACTATTTTTTGGGCCATGGATGAAAAGACACCATCCCACACTCAAGCGGGAATGAAGAGAAGAGGACGGGCGGGCATTTTTTCAGAAACCAAATTGTCGCCGAAACAAAAGAAAAAAAAGAAGAAGAAGAGAATCCAATCCCACCCCAAAGCCTCCGGATTTGGTCCCCCCAACCCCTCTTCAAGAGTCAAGACTCTTGGAACTATGAATATAACCGCACACTGGATAAAGAGCCGGAGGCGGAGAGAACAGAAACGTACAATAAACTCGGATTCGAAATGTAATGTGTCCTAATTAATTAATTAATTTGGATTGGGATGTGACTCGAACTCGAATTCGCTCGCTCAAGAGTTGGTGTTGTGCTCAGCGTTCACCTGAGGCTGCAGAATGTTGGGGGATTCCACTTCCATTCCACCTGATGTGACGGCACCACAAACAATGGATATCGTAGGAAAATGCCACACAATTCCACCTGGGTACAATTAAAATATTCACACATGTAACTTACCTTGCCCCACAACCTAACTCGTTCTCAAGCAAGCATCCAATTCAGGCATTTGAACCTGACGAAGACTAACCATTCGCATACCAACCAACCATCCATCCAGCTTAAGACAAATTCAAACATCTTTTTTTTTTCTCTCTCTCTCTTTAAATTAATAAATTAATAAATTAAAACTGCATCTACTTTCCTGATAAAATAAAAAAATAAAAAAAAAAAAAAACCTGCCTGGCATCTTAAAAGTTATTTTTCCGGTTCAGACCCGACACAACAATCGTCTGCCAGCCTCCTTGTTTTTACCTTATCTATGGATGTCATCGGGGAATGGAACGGAGGAGTCTTTTGGGCATGCAATCAATTATCAGCTGTAAGGACTGCTGAGAACTAGCAGCATCTGCTACCCTCAAAACCTTCGCGCAGTAGATAATCCAAGAAATAAAATACTACTACAGCCAAGTGAAACCCAACCTAGGCAGAAATTTAACATGAAGATTAATTTTTTGACAGCCTGAATTCCTTGAACACGGAGATCTTATCATACAGGACAATGGGCTATTGGTAGAAACATCGCAAATTCTCAGAAACTCGTCAAAAGAATCTGCACTAATGTATGCTCCCAGACCTAACAAGGTTCAAAATCCAACTTCCTTTTTTTCTTCTTTTTTTTTTTCACCAGACGCTCGCTCCCCTGTACCTCAAGCTTGAACAAGTGCGATATGATATGTACGGGAGCAATTCGGGACAACCAAAAGCTGCATGACCACGGCAGGAGAAGCTTCAACTCAACAATCTTGCTGGAGTATAACCACAAGCCTCACGTATTTGCTGATTGTGATGGCAATCTTGGATGGTTATGTTCTCCTTCGTAGGTGACAATCAGCATTGAAGGCTCCTCCAAGCATCTCTCCACATGCTTTCTGGCAGGGCAGCCTCTCATGCTGCTGCACTTGTAGTATCCCCTGCACAGAGATCAGCGAATGTTGAATCTAGGCACTTTGGAGATCAACTCCTCTCCTCAGCCCTCCCACATTGAAGGCCGATATAAGATTAGATGTTGGGCTCATAAAATAATTATGTCACGACTTCCAAGAAGCTCTCAGGCACACTAAGAATCAGAGAAACATAAAACACGAATAGGATTGGAGAAGAAACAAATCCTTTTGCCAAACTAAAACTGAATCAAAGACGAGCAAAAATTCCTGGCACTACAGTGTTTTCACTTCAAAATTCAAAGTGGATGAGATGCAATTAAAAGCTAAATTGTAGATCACTCCACCGAGAGGGCACAGTAAAGTAAGTAGGTCAAGAAGCATAATAATAAATAAACGGTAAAGCAATAACTGCATGATTTTTCTATGGATTTTACTGCAATTCAAACCAAGCTCCATCATGGAATAGCAGAGACTAGCAATGTACCTGGGATGAGGTGAACCTTTGATTGGTTTCTGGCCGTACTTCCTCCAAGAGTACTCATCGGGAGGGATATCCGCAAGCTTGTTACTGATAGCAGGTACTTTGATTGATCTCTTCACCCTGTGTTTCCTGCTTAGGGAATTAAAAAAAAAAAAAACGCAGAGAGTAACCATAAATACCCCAAAAAAGACATCAAACTGAAATTTGAAAAATCTAAGAGGACGGAAAATAACAACCTTTTCTTTGAGCAGTGACACCGTCCACTGCTTCCACATTTCACACTCCCATCCTCTCCTCTTCCAGAGCATCTTCTTTTGTGCTGATATGTACTCTGATCAGCAGAGCGGGAAGCCCCAATTAAATGGAAGGCATTCCCGTCCAAGTTGGCAACACTCCCATCAATGCTCAAAGAAGATATGAACGACCTAGCGGATGACATGGTAGGAGTGCAGGTTGAACTATCGAAATTCAGGCTAATGCCGCTATTGCTACGTCGATACATCATATCAGCCTGCCGTTTCAACTGTTGCTGCTGAAGCTGATACCTCTGCTGTTGCTGCTGGAGGAAATGGTAGTTAGGTGGTGGTGTTTGTTGGGCAAGCTGAAGAGTATTTTTCCCATGCGAGATGAACTCCAATGAAGGGTTTCCCAATGTAAGGCTGCTTTTGACATTAGAACCCGAATCTTGAACAGGGTTGTCAGGAGAGTTGATGCGAAGAAGCTGAAGGGCTTTGGGTTGATCATCCGTTCTGCAAATTGAGTTCTCAAGGAGGATGCTTGGGGGAAAAGGGGTCTGAATTTTTTTAACCTTTCTGACTCTGGCATGACCCAAAGTAGAATTGAGAAGAGAAACAACTTTCTTAAATTTACAGACGGCCTCTCCAGTTTCCACCGCTAAATTCCTATACTGCTTCTGATCTTGGGGTTGAGATATCAGACTAAGAACTCTGCAACAACTCTCAATAGCTGCCTTATTAGCTTCTTCAACTTCTTCCATAACAACGCTCTCAACCCCAAAACAAGAGAAAAAAGCGAGGGGGTGGAACGGGAACCCTAATCCCCAAAACCCAAAAGGCCTAACAAGCCATACAATCAACCTACCCCTATATGCCAACTAAAGACAAGATCTTCATTCATCCAGTACAGGGAAAACGGTAGTAAAAAACAAACCAACAGCTAGCAGAGAAGGAATGATCGACAAAAATAAGAAATGCTTCCTCAGTTAAATCACATGTAACAAGCACACCAAGAAAAAGGGTTCATCCATAACATTGAAGGGTACCCAAAAGATCTGATTCAATTGGGCAACTAAAAGTCAACTAGAAACGAAAAAAAGAAAAAACCACGAGGTAAATTACCATTCTAGCAGAGACTCCATGAGATATGATAAAATCCCCAAGAAAGGAATGTTGAGAAAAAAGGGAGATCAACTGACCTTGAATGGGAGTATTTTGAATGCTGTATGAAACCCTAGATTCTTCAATACGAGTTAAAAGACTTGACACTTGAAGGGGATGCAAGGAGAGAAGGGGGAGGGGGGAGAATGAAAGTGAGAGAGACAGAGGTTGGAAGGTGTGAAAGAGAAGACTTTTGCTTTGCCAGGGAGAGTATTCATACAACTCGAAAGAATACAAAAGACAATATCTTTTGAATATTAATTACTTACCTTAGTCACGCAGGGAATAAATATGTGTAGTAGTATCATTATTGCCTTCATATTTAGAGAGAGAAGGAGATTAGAGAGAGAAAGTACGGTGACCAAGCATATACAGAAGTCATAGAAAAAACTGCTACAATTACACTGGTTAGTGAGTCAGCAGTGAGTGAGTCGTATTACTACCACCGTTTGATGACAGAGAAAGGTGACCACTAACTGAGTTTAACAAAAAATCTATATACTATATTAGAGAGAGAGAGAGAGAGAGAGGGGCAACCGAGGAGGAAGCTCTGGGAGGAGGCGAAACTGCCATCTCTGTTCCAGATTTCAAAGTGGGTCCCGCATTTGGACTTGTGTGAGTAGGCTTAAAGTTTTCTACTTTTTGTTTTCAATTGGGAAATATTTGTATACTCTATCTGAATAAATGAAGTGTTCATTGTAGTGCTACTAAATTGCTAATACCCCTACGCACGGTATAATTAAGGGTTCATTGCATTTACTCCCTTGTAGTTTGATCAAACTACCAATTAGGCCCCAAGATTTGGTCAAATAACAGATTAGGTTAGGCCCTAGAAGTAACTTCTGTTTACGTTTTTAAGCCGTTGCAATGAAAAGACCGGATATCCAAGTCTACCTACATTGCTAATTTCTTGAAAGTTTTGAGACAAACAATCAAGGCAATACCTATTGGGCAGCCATAATGTCGAGATTGCCATGCCTATTGCTTCTATACATCATTGGCCATCCATCGGTTGCAAAATATTGTAGAATTTGCACCCAATCTCTTTTTTCTTTTTCTTTTTTTTTTTTTGTAAACTGCCATTTTTGGATAAAACTTGAGCCAAAAGTCGACATAATTTGTTAATGAGTCTAAAACAATCACTGCTTTTCTTTTTATTCTCCAGCCAAATCAACAAGAATATATGAAGGATTCATGAATCAACTCATAGATTCTAGTCCTCAAACCTATCTAAACAATTTCAAATACAAAAACTAGTTTTCCCCTTTCTCTCTCCGATTCATGATGAAAGTTCCAAATTTCCACCCTCAATTATGCCCAAAAGCCCATCAATAAAGCTTATCATTGCACCTTACTTCTTATCAAATCTTTGCCTCAATTTCTCAGCCTCCAACTCAACATTTTGCCTTTCAATTCCTAAACTATACTCCAACTAAACCAAAACATATGCCTCTAGCCATATTTCACAACTTTCGTCATATTGATTTTGTGATGTGAAAATTAGTATGCGGTATTAAATTGATTACATTTGCTTTGCAAGACATGCTTGTTAACTTTATCTCAACTGTTCTTGGGTTCGCATGTACTAGGGTTATAAAGGAAATAGAAAAGGAGAAGGATTTTGAGATGGAAAGAAAGGGGTTGTAAGAGATAAAAAATATATATGACACTGTAATTTGATTTATTCTCCTTGATTTTTGTTTTTTGCCCTTTTTGAGAAAACATAAGAGGTAGGGTATTTTTTGGGAGCATCATAACATTATTATTCCATCATTTCTACACGTTACTTTTCTAATGAGAAGGGGGTAAATGTTATTGGACCATCGAGTCATACAGGACTGCTCGTAATATTTCAAACTTTAGGGGGTGTAAAGGCGTTTGATAAAACTATAAGGGATATAAATATAATTAATCCCAAATTTAGAGGAAAACCATCAAAATAAATGAAACAATCTCCATCCGTTGCACCGCTTTTACCACTCCCAAGTTTCAATAGGACTCATGTCTTGTCCTTTTGCTCCGAAAAGCATCTATGACTTTTGAATCCAATGCCTGCATTATTCTACTCGCACCATATTATTGTTTGGAATGTGAGTGCACCCGTCATCGTCATCCCTCGCATAATACCATTCATGCTTCCTTCTTGTATAAATCTAACAGTCTGAATTTATTTGGATAGAGTATTATTTAAAATAATTATTATAATATTTTTTATAATGTGATATATGTGAGATAAAAAGGTAATTGAGAATATAAAAAGTGAGTTGAAAAATGTGTTTAGAATGCAAACGAAATATTATTTGACATATTTATGCTATTCAAACGCTGCTTTGACGTGTATTGCAATATTTTTCTTTGTTTTCATTTTGCACACGAACTCGTCCCAGTAAAATGTTTTTAAAAAAAATTCCCAAAAACGAACTATCTGTTCCAAAATACCTACCAACGCAGCAAATTTGCTGTTGGAAATAAAAGTTGACAAGGGTTTAGTGCGTTTCACCCTAAATATAATTCAATCAATTCACATAGATATGGCATTACGCATCATAAGGAACTTCCAGCAAGCGGCCACGGCTTTTTGAAAAATTTAAGTTGCTTCATAAGCGAAGAAGTCCATTCCATGTGAGAAGGCCTTCGTTTTCTGCAATTAAAAAGTAGTAGCAGCAGTAGTAGTAGCAATTGACTAAAGAAGTTAGCAAGGGACTGTTTGTCTATCTTATCTATGTCTATATATAGATATCTATACATAGATATAGATATGCCCGCAGTCCCCATATTTCGACTGCTAGTCCACTAACTCCATTCTCTCTCCTCTTTTTGTTCCCTTGTTGATGGAACTAGTCGACTGCTGTTCTTCCAATCAAGCACTGCTACAGTGGATTTGTTTGGATACACATATTATTTCAAATAATATTTCACGTAATATTTCACTTGCATCATAAACACATTTTCCAATCCACTTTTTTATATTCTCAATCAATTTTTTATTTCACATACATCACATCACAAAAAGTACTACAATAATTATTTTAAATAATATTTCAAATAATACTCTATCCAAACAAACCCAGTATTACTAACATTTTCGGTCAGCTCATATCCAAGCCCAAAGGCCTTCGGTCAGCTGGTTGGGCTAATTTGTGTGTCCTGTCACCAAATTGCTTAGGTTCCATGGGGTCTCGTCCTGTCGCCAATTGGTTGAACGCGGGTTTTCTGTGAATCCCACTTAGATTTAATGGGCGTAATTTCCGAGTGTTTCTAATCTAATTATATGTGTGTGTGAGTTTCTTCTGTTTCGAAAAAAATGGCTGGGCTAATTTGCTTTTTTTAATTTCCAAATTTCCATTTGGCTGGCACGTTTTTTACTTGAGAGACTCAATCCATGCGTGAAGACATTACTCGCATAAATATGTATTAATTTTTTATATACTGATATTGTATATGATATATTTTTATTATTAGATACATGATACATAATTCGAATTTTAATTTTTGAAACCTAAATTTTGCATATGTGTTGTGCATTTAACGATAACAGTGGATACATTGTCAATATATATAAAATTTACTTTATAAATATTGGTAACACAGTCGAGAAACTTTTAATAATTTAACTATCTTAGATAGTTAAAAAAACACTAAAGACTAAATAAGATCATTTTTTAAGCTAATAAATAAGATCAAATCATAAAAAAAAAAACTAAATAAGATCAAATTAAAGTCATGGATTATTTTAATAATTTAACTATCTTAGTTGCTTTAAAAAAGACTGAAGACTAAATAAGATCATTTTTTTTTGTTTTAAGCTAATAAATAAGATCAAACCATAAAAAAAAAACTAAATAAGATCAAATTAAAGTCATGGATGATTTCATTAAACATGTGTCAGTTTGTAACTTTTAATGCTGCTTATGGATCTAAGTAATTAGTAACATCTAAGTAATGCACCCTTTGAGGTGCGTGTATCTCACCTTGGGCCGCCATTGGATTTGTATTGTGCAGCAATTGGACACCGTTACGATCTTTACGTTCCAAGTGCTCACAACGATTTCTTTTATCAAGTCTCATCGGCGCACCTTATCAAAATGTGCGCCAAAAGTGGGACCAGTTTCATCACAGCCCGAGGAGCATCCCATCGAGCCGTTGCAAGAATTTAGCCACATGAGATTCCCGCTCGGTAAAACGCGACACGTGGATTCAATCTTGTTTGAATGGTCAAGATTTAGGCACGTTATCGTGCACTGGGATTACACCTGATTTATACACGATCTGTGGAGCCCCACATATTGGAATAGTCGTTGACTTAATCGATCGTCTCCTGCGTGCGTGGTCGTGCGTTTTGCGTTTGAGTTGTTGGCACCGATTGGACATTGGAGTGGAATTCTTGGTCCTATTTAATAGATGTTCTTTTCGGTCCATTTATTTGGAGTGGGCTGAAAGTGGACAAGCAGTCAATGCAGTCTCTTCGACACATTTAATGCACTTCCAATTTACACCTTCCTCATTCGCTGAATGTGGATACGACTCATACGAGCCGCTATCCCACTGTAGTGAAACAAATCAACATGGGATAATATCAGAAGCCTCCCCTAAAGTCTCTCTTAATAGCACTTGATGCTTTTGATGTTTTGAAAAATATCACTTACCGCCCTTAATAATTATAAAATGACTATGTATTACCCTCACTTCATGCATGACACACATAAAAAAAGTAATAAATGTCGCCCATTAGTTTCATCTCTGTTCCTCTTCTAGCCATCGCCCGCTAGTTTCATTTATTTGCCTTATCGTGGTTATCTTCTTAATTTCCGTCTAATTTGACTATGAAATTGTGTTGGCTCCCTCAACTTGAGATTTTAACAATTCAATTTTGATTCTTTAACATGTGCAAGCTACATTGAGAGTACAAAAAAAAAGTGGCTAATAATACAATAACAAGGAAATGGAGAAGAAAATAAGAAACAAACACTATTGGTGGCGGATTAGCATAATAGTAGGTTTTGTAGATGGAAGAGAAGATTGTATTAATGGGTGAAAAGAAATAGAAGAGAATGGAGAAGATAAGAGATATTGTAGTTATTTCATTGCATCAAAGGAGGTTAGTGTAATTTTCTAAACATGAAGACAGCAAAATGCAATTATCAGAAACCTCAATTATCCCAATTATCTTTGGAGAGATGACAGCGAATTACAAAGGAAATTTTCATTTTGCAGTTATTACCATATGACACTGCTAGGCAGCCAAAAACCGAGAAGAAAAGCCGATAAAAAGGAACGTCCAAAAGCGACATTTGTAATCTCATTTGAGCAAACAACCTATCTACACAAAGCAAATCAAGGTATGCTGTAATGGCTTCAAATCCTCTTGTCCCCAAAATAGTCTCTGTTCCCTCCGTTTTTTGTCTGTACAGCTATCACGTGTCTTTAACATTTTGTTAATCCAAACTTAAATAAATCGATAATAATTGATTTACAAGTTTTGTTAACCCAAATTCAAACAATAACACATTGAATCTAGGCTTGTGCAAAACAAGTAATACAATTTTGTTAATTATCTTTTTGTTAATTAGACAAACCTAGACTTTGCATAACCCCAACTTTTGTTTGAACTCAATGTGTTATTGTTTTGCGTAAGCCTGGATTCAGTGTGTTATTGTTTGAATTTGGGTTAACACAACTTGTAAACTGATTATTATCGATTATTTTGGATTAATAAAAGACTAGAGACACATGACAGTTGTACAAATAAGAGACGGAAGGGACAGAGACTATTTTAGGGACAGAGAATTTGAAGCCGTAATGCAAGAGGCATAGACTTCATCAGCTTAACTTCTTGAACTGGCTAATTAAGTTAATTTTGCAAATGATTAATTAAAATGGTAATTAGTTGAATCAGATGATGACAATAAACTTTGAAACTTCTAGGATTCACTCAAATTCTATTACACTTTGTTTTTGTCCAAAATCTTCTATAGCTGCCAAATGTATCATTGTTTCCTTCCCCTCCCTTTCTTGGCTGGCTGTGCCTCCATATGTTCTTTTCCACTGACTTCTGATATGTCAGCTGCAGAAAAGGAAAATCCATCAGTTCCTTGAACAAAATGAAAAGACATCCAAAAAAGATCCTAAAACGAAATCTGAAAGAATCTCAACCAGATAAACACCCAACCAGCAGCAAAAAAAAAAAAACGGTGGAGAAAGAGGTAATCTATGGTGAAAAGGTTACCTTAGAGTCGAGAATATATTAAGACAAGGTGGTTTTAAAAGTCCAAATGAGAAAAGACTTCTTATCATTCTCAAAGAAGATGCACTTTGCAACAGTTTTTAAGCAAATACAACCAACATGATGCTGCCACTAAGACACCATTACAACTTAAATGAGAGCAACAATACCTTCAGGTCCACGAGCCATCAATGTGAAGAATATGTTGTTGAGCTTCTCCATCTTCTTGGCATCCTGTGCTTGGTCTGTCTTAAACTTGATGCACTAATTAGGAAGTAAGAAAGGAAAAAAGTCAACATCACGAGAGGAGATAACCAACGCAAGAACTTTAAAACCTGAATTTACAAAAACTTCTTCAAAATGTCAAAAGTTATCACTTGTATATAGGCCTGTCAACGGGTCGGGTCTAGACCCGGATTCGGACCGGATCTGTGAAATTATTGCGGGTATGGGTAGGGATTTAATTCCGTTTTCCGGATCCGGATCCGTTTTGTCAAACAAAAAACGGGTCGGATACGGAATATAATATTTCGACCCGTATTAGACCCGGATCCGGATATAAATGAATTAATAATTTAAAAAATATATATTTATCAATATAATTTGATTAGGGTGATGTATTTGAGTAAAGTCAATTTGATTTCTTTTCTTATTTGATTTTTTCTTTGCATTAGTTAAAAATTAGTTTACAAATATATTTTTTTCTCATTTTTATTAGAAATTATAAATTGTGCTAAATTTGTGCGGGTAGACCCGACCCGGACCCGAAACCCGCCGGATACGGAATATCGAATAAAAGACCCATCGGATAAACGGGTCGGATCCGATTCCGGTATAATAATTCGGGTCCGGGTCCGAAATAATGAATTCTGGCCCGGACCCGGCTCGTTGACAGCCCTACTTGTATATTTGATTTAACATTCCATAATCTTCCCCATAGACTAGTGAAGCCCCTTAAGATCCTTCCTTTCCTTTGTTTTTTTATTGCAAAATAGACTGGGATGCCACGCATTCTGGATCTAGCAATCATTAATGCAGGCATTCAGAAGAGTAAACTGGAAAGTGATTGTTAAAATGCATCTAGATCACTGCACCTAATGGAGCTCATGGTTGAGAAGCAGGCTATGCTGCTTCAGGTACATGAGCAACGACGAACAGTAGACAAAGCAATGATTCAGGTTTTCACATGCTCTTTAGAGCAGGCACCAACATTTTACTAATCACATACATAAACAATAAGAGCAAACATCAGGATGCCCAAATTAAACGGCCCCAGAGGAATGTAAGAAGCCTTAACATGCATAAGAAATGGGGCAGGGCAGATAGTTAAACACAGATGCATAACTTTTGAGCCTACTTTAAAGCACGCCTCTTCAGAAATTTCTTTAAAATGCTTCAAATTAGATTCCTATGGTGTATTTAAGAACAAAATCAACCAGCTCTGTAACCTGAAATCATCTTTTCCTTGTTCTTCTTTTTTTAAAGCATCCAAAAAGTATATAATTTAGATATGCAAAACCAGCACCAAAAGATGCATACAAGACTGTGGATGAAGATCTTAAATGTCCCAAGCATTTGCCTGTAATATATTTTGCTCTGACAATCTTTTACTCCAACAATTACTTCTAGGCTGTTTTCGGTTTGGCAGCATGCAGAAACCTATAATCATTAAGGATTCAGACATACAGATACTTTGATCCTAATATTGAGCACGTGAACTGACGATCATATCCATAGAAATGAGGCTACATCATAACAAGTAGAACAGATTGCATTATCTATGATGCATCGGTATTTAGGAGATAATTAAGAACACATTTTTTTTTTACTTTAGCAAGACATTGGCATGATCAACCATGTAGTTCTTATTTCCACTGCAGATAACAGGAACTTACCCAAAACTAGTACCACAAGGAAAAGTTTCCCTCAACTCCCTGATGTTTTATCCCACTTATATTAAGATGCCAACATGAAAGCAATTCATGCAGTCAAGCATCACAGAAATGGCCTTTGGGACAACTATGTCTTATTGAACAATATTTGGGAAAGGCAACACATTTCCTTCCCTCAACCAAGAACCAATTAAAACCTTTACATAGGACTCTCAGACCACTTTGACAAAAAATCGTACTCTACACATAATTTAGTCACATAAGCAAATTCTTGAATGCATTGGCAAATATGTACTTCTATGCAGACTTCCAAAAATAAAAACTGCAAGCCACTGAATGGACAAAATCGTATACCTGGAGATGTATATTCATTCAATAAAGACCAAAAGATAAGCAACTCCCAAAGGTTTGTGTAATAAACACGAATGACACAGTCTGAACTGAAAGCATACCACCCTCATAAATAAACAAAATTCCATGGAAATTATACAGGTAATATCTTCTCTAGAAAAAGAGAATTTCAATCCACCTAGTTGCACATTAGAGTAAAAGTATAAAACGGGCTTCAGTCGAAACCCATAGACAGAATCAAGAAAGAACTATCAATTATTAATGAAAATCCCTCCCACACGAAGACAGGAGCTTAAAATCCTGCCTCAGTTGTATCAACTAACTCAGCGTTACTCAAATTTCCAACGCGTAATACCACACCATAATCTCTGACAAAGACTCAGGAAACAAGAAAACCATTCCGTGGATGAAGAAATCAATCAAACACCGAAACTTCAATTTCATCACCATCAACAACCAAACAAAACTATTCCAGCGAGACAAAGCTAGTTGTAGTACCAAAATACGAAGAATTTATTGCAATAATCCAATTAAATAGCTAAAACTGAAATAAATTTCTCTTTACCTCTTTATCGTCTGTGACCTTGAGGACCAACTTTCCATCACAATGCCTGTATTTCATCACGTACCGCGTCTGCATTACAAGGAAATAAAGTCAAGTAATTGCTCACCGAAAACTTAAAACCTAGACAAGTAAATTTGGGAAACAAACCATTTCGTGTCCTTTGAAGATTACCTTTTCGGGATCGGCACGAAACAACTGTACGGACCTTTCCACGAAATCGTCCCAGGAGGTTAGGTAAACCATTTTTTCTATATGATTTGTTTTGAATGTAAATACACAGAATAAAAACGGAAGAAGATCAGAAGCCGGAGAACGTAGTTGTTTAGTCGGCGATTGGCCGCAGTGGTTCTCGGTCACTGGAGCGGAGGAGCAAGGTTTTGAGCCTTTTCTAACTCTGGCCCAGGGGGGTTTTTATCAGGTGTTTAGGGTCCCGGTGGAACCGTGGAAGATTACAAGGGCAAAGTTGTCCACGGGAAAATCCCGGTCATGTCTCTCTTTTTTTCCCACTTTGGTATTGATTCTAGGGATAATTGCAGAAACCTCCCCTGAGATTTCTGATATTTTCACTGACCTCCCCTATAATTTGAAAAATTACACTGACCTCCCCTGAGGTTACTAATCCTTTATAAATTCAATCCAAACGATTAAAATATTGTTTTAAAGAGTGAAATTAGAATTTTGTACCAAATTTGTCCTTTGTACTACATGCCCAATGAATGACAAAATACTACAAATCAATTAACAATTAATAAACTTTAAGAAGTATAGTTTATAGACAAATAAACATTACCTATTTAAAATACCGACTCTTTAGGGGTATTTTACTTTCAAACATTTAATTCAATACAACTATTTACGCTCAAATACAGATTTGTATTTACTTTCAAATAATTTTTGTTAAATACAAAAACTACCAATCTCTCTTCCGTAAAAATATTAATATAACACTTTTTCAATTTTAGTTATAACCATTTATGTATTTAACATGAATTAAATGATTCAGAATAAAATACTCATAAAGAGCCAATACTTTACTCATGTAATGGATGAAAGTCATAAAGAATTAATACTTTATGAATCATTTCTTTTTTTAAAAAAAATATTTAATTTATATTAAATAAGTAACCTACCGATTTCCTTTTTGCAAGAATATTACTGTAACACTTTTTAAATTTTACTTACAAACATTGATATATTATTATAAATTAAATGTTTGAAAGTAAAATAACCATAAAGAGCTGCACTTTAAATGAATAATGTGTGTTTGCCCATAAAAAACCGGTAACTATTTAAAATACCGGCTCTTTATGGGTATTTTACTTTCAAATATTTAATTTAATACAAATATTTACACTCAAATACATATTTGTATTTACTTTCAAATATTTAATTTTTATTAAATACAAAACCTACATATCTCTCTTCCGTAAAAATATTAATATAACATTTTTTCAATTTTAGTTACAAACATTTATGTATTTAATATAAATTAAATGATTCAGAATAAAATGCACATAAAGAACGAATACTTTACTTATGTAATGGATGAAAGTTATAAAGAATTAATACTTTATAGGTTATTTTTAAAAAAAAAATATTTAATTTATATTAAATAAATAACCTACCGATTTTCTTTTTGCAAGAATATTATTGTAACACTTTTGAAATTTTACTTACAAATATTGATATATTTATCATAAATTAAATGTTTGAAAGTAACATACCTGTAAAGAGCTGGTACTTTAAATAAGTAATGCGTATTTGCCCACAAATTATACTCCTTAAAGTTTATTAATTGTTAATTGATTTATAATACTTTGTCATTCATTGGATATGTAGCACAAAGGGCAAATCTGGTACAAATTTCTAATTTCACTTTCTAAAATAGTATTTTAATCGTTTGGACTAAATTTGCAAAGAATTAGTAACTTCATGAGAGGTTAGTGTAATTTTTTAAATTATAGGGGAGGTCAGTGTAAATATCAGAAAGTTCAGGGGAGGTTTCTGCAATTATCCTTTGATTCTATTGACAAGGCAAAAACCTCCTTTTCTGAGTTGGAAAGTTGGATTGACTACTGATATGGCCGCAGCATTGAGTTGAGTAAGGCATAAAAGTGACTGCGCAGTAATTTAGCTGTTACCTCACAGGGAGTTGCGCTCTGAGTGCTGAAACGACGTCCGAATCACATCAGAGCCCAGGGGTAACGTGTCATAATATACCCGAGTCTTTGACGACACCGTCACCGTCACGTTAGCTTCTCACTCCTACCCCCGCTTTGGCGCCTTCGTTACCTATACATTTATAATTTTGTAGTTGCTCTTCTAGCACTTTCAAACAATGCCCTGTTTGTTCCATTCGATATGATCAGCTAATCTTCAGGATATCTTGCGCCTGTCGAGACAAACGCTGCCTTAAGAGATCATAGTACAATCTTCTTCTTCTCTCCATAAAGGCAGCCGCAGCAGTGGTTCATTTCATCAGTAGTTCGAGTTCTTAGCAAACTCGTGAAACCATGGCAACTCCCAGAGGCACGTCTTTAGTTTAGTCTCGCTTACTACTATAGTACTACTTAAAGCTCTAAAATCGCGATTTCAGACATTGTATTGACATGCACGTGGCGTTTGTTTAATGTTTTCTGCAGAAGCAGAACAACGTAATCGAGCTTTTCTGAGGGCAGCTTTTGACGGAAATCTCACACTACTCAAGAGTAGGCTTTACTAGTGTTTTGTGTTTTGCTTTTTATTTTCTTTGGTTCTTTTGTGTCTTTGGCGAAACTGTTGTTAAAATCAGGGTTTAATCGGGAAACTATTTCTATCTGGTGAAGCTTTTGGGAAGTCGCATGCTGGATTTAAGGACCCAAACGGCGCTTCACCTGGCCGCTGCCGCAGGTAAAACGGAGATATGCGGCTACTTGATTGACCAGTTGAAACTCGACATGGATGAGAGAGATGATGATTTAGGTTAGAGATTTTTTTTCCTGGCCCTCGTTTATTTCATTTTCAATTTGATATGTGGAAATTTTTGCTTTTATTATGTGCTTGATTTTCTTAGTTCAAGTCATCAAGTCTTTAAAATTCGTTGTCATTCACAGGATGATAATAATAAAAAAAGAACTAAAAGATTTTGTTGTGTGACTCTGTAGATGGATACGGAGTTGGTAAAACTAATTCTGTTACTCTCAGATGTTGTAATCCCCATAGCTTGAAGGAACTTGAGATTTTCTCCTGCTTCTTTTTTTTTTGTCTTTAAAATTTTGATTTTTAATCTGATCTCTCTTACTGCCTATGTGGCACAGGTGATACACCTTTGATTCTGGCAATTGTGGAAAATCATAATTCAACCGCTGCCTTTCTAATTGAACACGGTGCAGAGATCATGAAAAGTAATTATAAAGCTTTTACTCCCCTGCACTACGCTGCTGAAGAAGGTTTTGAAAGCGATTACAAGTACTTTTTAATTATTTTTTATTAACGGCCATTGCACTTCTCGTAGTGTGGGTAGCTATCCACGGCCTGGTTATAGAGTTTCAAGTGCTTTAGGTGTTATTGGTAACTAGGCAATACGTGTGTAGGAAACAAGGAAATACTACAACTTTTGATCTCCAAAGGTGCTGAAATTGATAGCAATTCTGAATCCGGGACACCATTGCAATGTGCTGCACTCTCTGGAAAAGGAGAAGCTGTGAAGATCTTATTAGATAACAAAGCAAATGTGAGATTTACAAAGTTTGTGTTGCTTATTTTATTCCTTCCTTCCCTTAGTCAGCACCTTTGTATTTTTGGCCCAAATGTTTCTGGATTTTTTATTTATAATAAGCGTTTGGCGGATCACATCAAAATCTCTACTCCTATGTTCAGAAGCATTTAAACGGTAAATTTTCAAGTGTATTGACTTTTAGCTTATATTCATTTCCCTATGTTACTGACATAGAGAGCAAACTCAAGCGTTTTTCTCTGAAATTGGTAAACACACAGTGATGCTGCTGTGTCCTTGAGAATACTAGTGCATGTTCTTCTTAGCTCTGCCCAGTTTCCATGCGACTTTTTATTATCTCTATTACCATGTTTTATTTTATTACTCAAGTGTTTTTTTCAGAAGCATTGCTTTTGCAAAAATTATTTAGAAAAAACATGTGCAATCCACCTTCTGCAGACTTTTATCTAAGAGACTACCTTTTGCTATTGTTTCCTTTAAAACGTCACAATCTACCGTCTGCACATTTCATAAATATTACTAGATTTCACAGTAAATGCAATTCGCTTTTCCCTATAACTTTGGTCACCTAATTGAATATGCATTTGCATATAGAAGTTTGGAGATGATTTGGATCTTTCATTCTGGATATTGTGGTTTTATGGGTTTTTAAAAATGTTTGTGTTTTTCAAATTATCTGTGCTTATCCAGTCTTTACATGTTCTTTGTGTGAAATCAGGAAGATTAGATTTGTTAGGTTCTTTTGCTTGCACAGTTTTTGCGTATAAGTTGTATGGATTGTGACTCAATTTCATTTTACATTCATAATCTTCTCTTAATGTTCATATTGTTGTTTTGATCTTTTGTGCAGCCAAATTCAGTTACACAGCTTTATTTTCCACCCCTGATGCTTTCAATTATTGCCAGGTCGTTCAATTGCCTTGACCTGTTGCTTAAGGTACATGTCCAATTTTATAGCAAATGTCTTGACTCATACACTGTTTCTTCATCGCATTGGTTATGGTTGCAAGCTATAGTAAATATGAAAAGGATAACAACGATGGAAAATCCATTTGCTTTGAAGTTTTTCCTTGAAGTCTAAGATATTGAACACTTGGACCGTTCAGTTTTTCTGGAATTGAAGACGAAAACCATAAACAAATATGGTATTCCTATAATTAACTATTCCTCTGGGCAATTGCTGATAGTTTTGTTGTGTGCTTCAGTAAGCTGAAACTGAGAGTATGTGTCACTTTTTACTATGCCTTCATGTCAAAGTATACAATTGTCTTATGCGCTTTTGTTTATCTTTATTGTTAGTGATGCTAATTGTGATTTGACACGAGGATGAGATTGTTAGGAATTGTTCAACATGTTACATAAGTTGATTGCTTTGATGGCAATAGTTCCAGTGCATATAAGGTGGAGTATATTTTATTGCCATTAGTTTCAGTGCATGTAAGGTGTAAGTTGTGTGTACAAATGTGCAAGTGACTGATTTCATGTACTCCAAAATCTTCTTTCATGCTTGGATTTCTTTTTCTTCATTGGTACAGTTGAAGGTTGATTGTTCGAAGTTCTCTCTATATTGCATGTTTATGTAATCTTCTTTTTTTTCATAATCGTCATCCAGGCTGGAGCTGATCCAAACCTTGGTTCATGTGGAAAGACTCCTCTTATTGCAGCAGCTTGTGAAGGGGAAACTGAAATTATCAACTGCTTGTT